GGGGGGGTGGTTTTATTGACAGTGTATGGGATGGCTTTTATTGACAGTCTGGGTACGCTTGTTAGGTTGTAAAACATTTATCAACAGTATGTGTGACGTTTTTTACGTAAGAAGGACTTACATGGACAGTGTGTGTGACGTTTTTATTGCACTAAAATTGTTAAATTAACTATATACCTTCACATGTTTCTCACTATACATGATTGTGTCCATTTATTTTGTTTAATTCTATACATTTGGTCATGAGATAAATTATGTAGCCTACTTTTATTAAAACATCTTGTGAGCGTTTGATTTGTAATATTTTTTTACCATAATGAGAATGATGCATGAATATTGTATAATTTTAGTCCATCAATAAATAATAGTATGTATGTCTACTTTTTAAAAAATAGATCTTTATTTGCCGACTTTTTTAAAGTTTGGGTTGTCTCAATCCTTGGTAGTGTTCCAAACTTTGGTGCTCCAACCTTGGTAGTGCTCCAACCTTGGTAGTGCTCCAACCTTGGTAGTGCTCCAAACTTGGTAGTGCTCCATCCTTGGTAGTGCCCCAACCCGGTGCTCCAACCTTGGTGCTCCAAACTTGGTAGTGCCCCAACCCGGTGCTCCGAACTTGGTAGTGCCCCAACCCGGTGCTCCAACCTTGGTGCTCCAACCTTGGTGCTCCAAACTTGGTAGTGCTCCAACCTTGGTAGTGCTCCAACCTTGGTAGTGCTCCAACCTTGGTAGTGATCCAACTTTGGTGCTCCAACCTTGGTAGTGCCCCAACCCGGTGCTCCAACCTTGGTGCTCCAACCTTGGTGCTCCAAACTTGGTAGTGCTCCAACCTTGGTAGTGCTCCAACCTTGGTAGTGCTCCAACCTTGGTAGTGCTCCAACCTTGGTAGTGATCCAACTTTGGTGCTCCAACCTTGGTAGTGCCCGAACCCGGTGCTCCAAACTTGGTAGTGCTCCAACCTTGGTAGTGCTCCAACCTTGGTAGTGCTCCAACCTTGGTAGTGCTCCAACCTTGGTAGTGCTCCAACCTTGGTAGTGCTCCAACCTTGGTAGTGCTCCAACCTTGGTAGTGCTCCAAACTTCGTAGTGCTCCAACCTTGGTGCTCCAACCTTGGTAGTGCTCCAACCTTGGTAGTGCTCCAACCTTGGTAGTGCTCCAACCTTGGTAGTGCTCCAACCTTGGTAGTGATCCAACTTTGGTGCTCCAACCTTGGTAGTGCTCCAACCTTGATAGTGATCCAACTTTGGTGCTCCAACCTTGGTAGTGCCCGAACCCGGTGCTCCAAACTTGGTAGTGCTCCAACCTTGGTAGTGCTCCAGCCTTGGTAGTGCTCCAACCTTGGTAGTGCCCCAACCCGGTGCTCCAAACTTGGTAGTGCTCCATCCTTGGTAGTGCCCCAACCCGGTGCTCCAAACTTGGTAGTGCTCCATCCTTGGTAGTGCCCCAACCCGGTGCTCCAAACTTGGTGCTCCAAACTTGGTGCTCCAAACTTGGTGCTCCAAACTTGGTGCTACAACCTTGGTGCTCCAAACTTGGTGCTACAACCTTGGTAGTGCTCCAACCTTGGTAGTGCTCCATCCTTGGTAGTGCCCCAACCTTGGTAGTGCCCCAACCCGGTGCTCCGAACTTGGTAGTGCCCCAACCCGGTGCTCCAACCTTGGTGCTCCAACCTTGGTGCTCCAAACTTGGTAGTGCTCCAACCTTGGTAGTGCTCCAACCTTGGTAGTGCTCCAACCTTGGTAGTGCTCCAACCTTGGTAGTGATCCAACTTTGGTGCTCCAACCTTGGTAGTGCCCCAACCCGGTGCTCCAACCTTGGTGCTCCAACCTTGGTGCTCCAAACTTGGTAGTGCTCCAACCTTGGTAGTGCTCCAACCTTGGTAGTGCTCCAACCTTGGTAGTGCTCCAACCTTGGTAGTGATCCAACTTTGGTGCTCCAACCTTGGTAGTGCCCGAACCCGGTGCTCCAAACTTGGTAGTGCTCCAACCTTGGTAGTGCTCCAACCTTGGTAGTGCTCCAACCTTGGTAGTGCTCCAACCTTGGTAGTGCTCCAACCTTGGTAGTGCTCCAACCTTGGTAGTGCTCCAACCTTGGTAGTGCTCCAAACTTCGTAGTGCTCCAACCTTGGTGCTCCAACCTTGGTAGTGCTCCAACCTTGGTAGTGCTCCAACCTTGGTAGTGCTCCAACCTTGGTAGTGCTCCAACCTTGGTAGTGATCCAACTTTGGTGCTCCAACCTTGGTAGTGCTCCAACCTTGATAGTGATCCAACTTTGGTGCTCCAACCTTGGTAGTGCCCGAACCCGGTGCTCCAAACTTGGTAGTGCTCCAACCTTGGTAGTGCTCCAGCCTTGGTAGTGCTCCAACCTTGGTAGTGCCCCAACCCGGTGCTCCAAACTTGGTAGTGCTCCATCCTTGGTAGTGCCCCAACCCGGTGCTCCAAACTTGGTAGTGCTCCATCCTTGGTAGTGCCCCAACCCGGTGCTCCAAACTTGGTGCTCCAAACTTGGTGCTCCAAACTTGGTGCTCCAAACTTGGTGCTACAACCTTGGTGCTCCAAACTTGGTGCTACAACCTTGGTAGTGCTCCAACCTTGGTAGTGCTCCATCCTTGGTAGTGCCCCAACCTTGGTAGTGCCCCAACCCGGTGCTCCAACCTTGGTAGTGATCCAACTTTGGTGCTCCAACCTTGGTAGTGCCCGAACCCGGTGCTCCAGCCTTGGTAGTGCTCCAACCTTGGTAGTGCTCCATCCTTGGTAGTGCCCCAACCTTGGTAGTGCCCCAACCCGGTGCTCCAACCTTGGTGCTCCAACCTTGGTAGTGCTCCAACCTTGGTAGTGCTCCAACCTTGGTAGTGCTCCAACCTTGGTAGTGCCGAGCCTAGCCTAATTATACTAGTGTTGGTGTCCTTAATGAACTAAAAAAAAATTAAGCATTTCAAAATGTTCAGCATGAGCACAGTTAAATATTATCTTCATTGAATTTTATAATTTTTTAAAAATTATTTTTAAAATGACGTTTAACAAAGCAGTAACTTGGGACAGTGAAAGTAAAAGGAAAATAGTGAGCGTCTGAAAGTAAAAAAAAAATGTTAACAAACAAATCCTATTGTCTTTTTTTTTTTTGTTCTCTATTCATTTTTGGTCGGTCGTTGACCTAAAGCCCCTTTTGACTCAGCTTTTTTATCTACCTGCCGCACAAAGGCAAAATAAAGATAATATAAGATCATCCTTAAAATAACTCTCTTTTATAATTTAGAGAAATCTAAAAATTAGTAAAATTTAATCAGGTAGTGTGACGTCACACTTTTGCATTTTAAAAAAAATAATGTTAGAAATAGAATTAGAAAATTGTTATTACGTTTTAGAAAGCTGTTTCAATAAACTGTTGTAGAAATTGATTGAAATACGCTAGGTCGACCGAAATCCGTCAATATATTAGGGAAAACGATGTTTAAAAAATATTTAAATGCAGTTTTGAGTGGAGGGGGGGGGGGTTGTTGGCTGTCTGACGTAACTGACGTAATTTTAGGGGGTGTGGCTTTTTGGTGACAATGTGTGGTGGAGGGGAAGGGGGTGGGGGGAGATAAAAATTGTTTTTAAAAGCTTGACGTCATTTCTGGATGACCCGAAAGCTGTAAGAAAATTATTTCTTTATTCCGGTCCTTTACTGGCGCAAATGTTCTTTAAAGAGCTGACCTTGCACAATTTCTGCCACAGGAGACAACTGAAACATCGACCTAAATAAATTATTATTTGACGAGAACTTTTTTAAACGACGCAATTCACCAGATATGCTCACTGGCGTGGTGAGCTCTGATTGGCTAGACCAGGACAAGCGGGAATTCCCTAAATAGTCATTTCATTATCTGCTGGGTGGATTACAGTCTTTTCGGCAGACACCGGCTGGAATTCTGACAATTCCAGATCTTGACGGCGACAAGGGACCACCAGAGATGTCACTATAGCTCGCCACCGGTCATCAGCCTAAATACGACCCCATAGATGTCACTGTACTCTAGCTCGACCCCATAGATGTCACTGTACTCTAGCTAGACTCCAGTCATGGCCTAAATACGAATTCAGATTTGGAAATGAAAGGGAATCCATCTGCAGTTGGTGGGGGGGGGGGGGGGGGCGCAGTGTTATCTCCCTTAGATCTGCAGTTAGGGAATTGTTATCTCACTTGGATCTCAGGGGAGGGGAGTGTATTAAACACGGTTATAATTATTGCACTTTTAGCAGAGGACAGCAATGTATTAAATGAGACGATAATTATTGCACTTTCAGCAGAAAGAATATATTGCAGAAATATATTCTTATTGCTTTAATTATCATATTTAAATACATTATAAAAAAATCAACTGGATTATTGCATCTTCCACTATATGACACAATCACATCCTCCACTAGATTATGACACAATCACATCCTCCACTAGATTATGACACAATCACATCCTCCACTAGATTATGACACAATCACATCCTCCACTAGATTATGACACAATCACATCCTCCACTAGATTATGACACAATCACATCCTCCACTAGATTATGACACAATCACATCCTCCACTAGATTATGACACAATCACATCCTCCACTAGATTATGATACAATCACATCCTCCACTAGATTATGACACATCCTCCACTAGATTATGACAGTTCTATTTGTATAAAGGTGGGGTTTTCGTGCCGGTTCTATTTGTATAAAGGTGGGGGGGTTTTCGGGACTGTTCTATTTGTGTGAAGTTGTTTCTGTAGGAGACTGATCTATCTATGTAAGGTGGTTTGTTACGGATTGTTCTAATTGTGTAAAGGTGGTTTTGTTGATGACTAATGAGTTTGGTAATGCCAGCTGCTTTTGTACAAGAATTTTGGATGTTTTTCAACTTAGTGTACCTACAGTGAACTGTTACCAGCTTTTGGAAAATATACACAAGGAAAATATACACAAGGAAAACATACACAAGGAAAATATACACAAGGAAAATATACACAAGGAAAAGAAAAAATATTTTTAATATCTTTCATTAAAACATCTCTGGAATGTGAAGTCAATTTGAGAAAACTTTTTAATCTTAAAAGTTCTAAGGGTAGTTAATTAAAGAAAGTTTATTTATGAGTGTTACTAGAAAGGTCAAGATCTTTTAACAGTTGTTGTTTAATAGTGTGGATAAGTAACAGACAAATTCTAGCAGTGATAAAGAAATGTTCAGATCTTGACTGAGAGCAGAGGAGATCAACCAGTTTCAAAAACCTGTGATTTCATTTTGAGAGTTTAGAGACACGGGGCAATTGACAACATTCGACAGAATCCATTTTAAAAAAACTATGAAGAATCAGCGAGAAGAATTTTAAAGAGTTCTGTTTTAAAATGTTCTAAAACCTGTTTACTATTTAAAAATTACATTGATATATTAATGGAATTAAATATTTACCACAAATAAAATAAAAAAACCATTGAAATATTTTAAGCAAAGACTGTCTTATATTAAAATTTCTTTTCATACGACAAATCTGAACAATTTTAAGCAAAGTGAAATTGATACAAAAGTAATACACCTACAAGTCCAAAAACAAAGTGATACTAATACATCAGTAATACACACAAGTCCAAGTTTTCATGCTTACACAAACTACTACATCAAATGTAAAATGTTAAAAAATCTGCAGCAGTTCTTCTGTTCTAGTTAACAAAACATGTTATCCCTGTATGTTGGTCACATTATGTAGATCTTTATATGTGATCATTGGTGTCAATCACATCTGACATGATTTGATCTTTTAAATATCACAATGTAAAAATACATTTTAACATTCTTTTGAGAAAACTCAATATCAGCTTTGAACAACATTAGATTAGCTGTATTACTATGCTGATTAAAGCAAAATGAAGACATAGTGTTAAAACTGACTAATGGACTGACATTTACCATCTCAACAACACACGACAGACACATTCTGGATGTATGAAACACATGAGCAGGGGTGGGCTGGCCTGATGTGGAAAGAATCCAGGTGAGTTCCCTGGAAAAAATTCCAGAGGGCCCCCAGGAACAGTGCTGAACTAGGCCTATTAGTGCTTGAATTTAAAAAAATAACAATTAGTCGCATGAATTTGCATCAAGCTGAGGATGATCATCAGGCTTTGATGGGAAAAAATGCACAAAGAAAATTGTAATCTGGGGTTGGGGGCCTATTGGACACAGCCAGTGCACCCCTGCCCGTGGGCTACAAAATTTTTTACATAGGTCATCCTGACATTGTTCTTAAAATGAAATTGTTAAAAAAACAGCCTGTTCATTACAACCAGATGGTGTATCTCCAACAGCCTGGTGATTAGGACAAGATGGTGTATTTACCAAAGAAGACACTGGACACGTCGACTTTTATAACGACTTCGTCCTTCAGGCCAAACTTTCCAATCAGATTCCCAGAGAAGACCTCCGTCAGGTTGTACACAGCATTCTCTGTGACCCCCAGGTCAGCAAGAGAGATGGACACGCGGGTGTGGGCACCCCCCTGGTACTCATTCAAGACGGCCACAGCATAGCTGCCCAAGGGGAGGACTGGACGGAGCCAAACTTGTATACCATTAATCTGTTGATATGTTAGAGAAATGTTTAGGAAAGAAATTTTATCACAGGGGAATAATACAGCCTTTTCTTTGATTACAGGTAAATTGAATAATGAGTGCTTTACACCTAGAGAAAAAAATGTGATAGCACATCATGCCTCTCTTTGTGGTAGATACACAGCCCTGCAACTTTCCCCCCCTCCCCCAAACTAACAAAAATATCCTAGCCATGTTATCACAACATGACTCTCCTTGTGGTATTTACAAAGCCCTGTACCTTCCCCCTTACAACAAAAAAGATTTAAATTTAAATGATTCCTCCCCAAAGCAAAGGGAAATAATCCCTACCTGCCAGATTCTCTTCCCTTGTATACCAAGCTTATCCTGGTTAATGGCTATTGCACCTTTATTCAGAATTAGACTTTTGGCCCGAGGTGTCACTGTACGTAGATCATTGGACAGGAACAAGGGTGCGGCCATCATAGCCCATAGGGCCATCTGAGCCTCTTCTTCAGACTCACTCAAGCCTTTGTTGCCAATAACAATCTGTTAGAAGAAAACAAAACTTACACAAAAAATTGCATTTTGTCTAGGTGTGTTAGACTTGTGAACATACGTGATGATTAAAGAAATATATCTGGTAATTTTTTAATATATTAAACCTCCATGTAATGTAGCAGTCAATGGAATAACAAACAAAATAATGAGTACCATATCGGGGTCGTTAAAGTTTCCTGGTCCAGCCACAGAGCTAAAGTTGCCATGGTCATCACCATAATACTTGATTATACTTTTAACACTGTCCCAAGCGTCATCAATATCATCAAAGTTTCGCCAGATGTTACAGTACTTGGCTATACGAGGATAGTCAGGCTGTAGAAAAAAATTCCTTGTCAGTTAATTTGTTTTAGTTACATGTTTTTTGTTAGTCTACTTGTCAGTTAATTTGTTTTAGTTACATTTTTGTTAGTCTACTTGTCAGTTAATTTGTTTAGTTATGTTTTTTGTTAGTCTACTTGTCAGTTAATTTGTTTTAGTTACATTTTTGTTAGTCTACTTGTCAGTTAATTTGTTTAGTTATGTTTTTTGTTAGTCTACTTGTCAGTTAATTTGTTTAGTTATGTTTTTTGTTAGTCTACTTGTCCGTTGATTTTGTTTTAGTTACATGTTTTTGGTTAGTCTACTTGTCAGTTAATTGTTTTATTTACATGTTTTTTGTTAGTATACTTGTCAGTTAAGTTGTTTTAGTTACATGTTTTTTGTTAGTCTACTTGTCAGTTAATTTGTTTTAGTTACATGTTTTTTGTTAGTCTACTTGTCAGTTAATTGTTTTATTTACATGTTTTTTGTTAGTCTACTTGTCAGTTGTTTTAGTTACAAGTTTTTTGTTAGTCTATGACAAGCTTTTATGCAATCAATGTTTAAATCTACTAATAAATCTTTACTGGAGTCCTCTGTAAGTGAAATGTTTTAATAAAACTTTTTCAAATCAAGTATAACAGATACAACATTAAATCATAAATAACACTAAAGAATGTGTCAAGCCAATATTAAAATTTAGGAGTACAATGGTTGACGAGCATAGACAGAGACCCAGTGAGGTACTTACAATTGTTGACTGTTCGTAAGCAGGCCAGCTACAGCTAAAAAGAATAGGCCGTCCAGTTTTATTCAAGTAGAACTCCATTATTGGGTATGCTATATGAAAATGCAATAATAAAGACGTTAGGATTAGTCTTTAATAAGGTGAAATTTAAAATGTCCAACATTGAAAAAATATATGGTTCAATACAAATTTTTAATCAATTTTTATAACTTTCCTGGTTGAGTAAGATTTAAATTCTTAAACTGATACTTCTGCTTAAAGGTTAACTCTTATGATACAATTTAAAAAGTTATAATATGAACACAATGTTTAAAGGAAATAAAAATATAGTGTTGAAATTTAAAAATTATCAACACACAAATGAATTTGGCTAATGTAGCAAAAAATGTTAATTTTATCACTCCTCATCAACAATCTTCAGAATTCAATAAATGTATTTTTTTAAGGTAGACATGATTTATTACTGTCTGAAACATGGTATTGGTCCATGCTACCATTTCTAGTCTATGTAAGAAAAAACAAAGGGAAATAACTACGTTTTTTTAAAAAATGGTTGTCCCTAAAATGTGCCAAAAAAAACAATATAAATTAATGATTTTTCTAACATTAAATTAAAAATTATTACATCCTACTTTATCTTACAATTTTTTATTTCAGTATCTTTGTGGATCAATAAGAAATTTAAGGGGCAGAGTTACATAAACTTGAAGCACATACCAACAGAAAAATCATCTGTTGTGGAATAGCATCCATCCATCTTGAAAGAGTCAATCCCCCATTCAGCAAAGGTGTTTGCATCAGTTTCCATGGTAAACTTGCTTCCAGGATAGCCACCACAGGTCAGTGTACCCATGTCACCATAGATACCAAGCTTTAGCCCCTTACTGTGGACCTAGAAACAGTGATGAAGACATAAGCTAAATCATTCCATATTCTTATTATTCAAATAGATCATTTGTATTAATGTTATCATAAGTTGCAGCAATTTCTTGAGTAAAATGAAAAAGGCAATAAATATCTTACATAATCAGCGAGAGCTTTCATCCCACTTGGAAATCGTTTGGGGTCAGGCAGCAATCTGTTGGTGACAGGGTCTCTCTGTTTAGCTGACCAGCAGTCGTCTATGTTGACATACACATAGCCAGCATCTCTGTAGCCATCTGCAGCTAGCCTGTCTGCCATGGCTTTGTACAAATCTTCACTACACAAGCACAAAAGTTGGGTATTCAATACTAATTTACTAAGGCATAATTAATTTACATTACTGCAGGAAGGGGGGGGGAGGACAAAATAAATTTCAAACCTACTTAACACATTCGTCTGGATAATTGTCGCAATCTATTTGGCAGCGAAACCTCTGCCAAGACAACCAGCCCATTGGCGGAGTCCTAGCAAGGCCATTGTCCAGCGCTGCCACTTGGCTTGCTAAAGCTATCACACAGTAGACTATATAGTGCATCATCTAGGGAAAAAGCGTATATCAGTTAGTCACACAAAAATGTAATTCCAATTCAATTTTTAAATAAACCCTTTTTTGGTTTTCAAGCAATAAATGAAAACACTGATATTGAGTTATTGGTCAGAATAAAATGCTGTTATCTTATAATGGTCTTAACTAGTGATAAGTAATGTATGAAATTGAAAATGAGGACATGACCTAGCCTCTAAATGTGTAGATAAATAAATTATGGTACAGTAGTTTTATGTAACTGAAACTCCAAGGCAAGACTTGAAATCATTATAGGACTATGGGAAAAGTATCTCTAATAACTGTAGCCTTAAATCTAAATTTAATAAGAAATAAAATCAGCTCTCAAATGTAGCCTTGAATATAATATTTTAACATAGGGCCTAAATCAATCTATTATTCAAAAACATTTGAAAGGTGTGTCAAGAAGTAGTCTGATCCTCCAAACTAACTAATGCCAAATGTTTGACTAATTAATGACTGGCAGTTTAAAAACTCTATCCAGATTAATTTAAGCTGATTACACTGAATTACGCTAAGAACTGAGTTTTAATTTTGTATTAGAAGATATGATTTATCTCAAATTTTTTCAATGCTTTTTAAATAGCCAATTATTAATAGGCTGACTAGATCTATCTCAAATTTGTCAAATGTTACTTTTATTATATACTAATTAACTTATTTACAATGGCATATTTTTTATTTATACAGATTGTACATTTCTGTAAAACTTTAGCACATGTCTTCCAGGTAGGCAGACCTCCCAGTTTGTAAACCACAGATATAAAAAATTGGGTAGATGTTTATTAGAATCCACACTTTGAATTTCTAGTGGAATGAGCCCCCAGCCAGGCTGCAACCAAACACTACACACACAACTGACAACCAACTTTCCCTTTAAGGAGCAAAAGCTTATGTGCAAAATACATTTTATGTACAAGGTACCTTAAATTTTATATACAAGTTTATCTATATTTTAAAGCTTAGGGCTTAGAGAGAACAGTGCTGACAATACTAAATAAACAGAATAAGAGCTTTCAGCTAGATATTAGTAAGGTCTACGTAAAAAATTAGTGCACCTCAGTTGTATTACTTACGATAGTAATTGTATATATTGGATAGACCTAATGATTTACTTATATCCTAACCTAAATTTATTCCTAACCTAAATTTATTCCTACAGGTAATCATTACTAGATCTAGTAATACTAGATCAAGTCCTCACTGTCTACTTCTACTCTAGTCAACTCTAGTAACAGTAAGTGAAGAGTCACTTAAGTAACTAATAGATTATCAAGTGGGAGTACACTATCAAATCAAATTAAATCAATGCAGTCAGTGAACTAGAGTGTCACAGAGTAAGTCACATAGTAATACTAATAGTAACCACAGTGATCAGTGAGTGGAGTCAGTTCTGAGTTCAGCTCCGACAGTATCAGTAGACTTAAGTAAGTAGTCAGTGTAGTTGTAGACTAGACTGAGCTACTTCCTCACTAGTTAGTTAAACTTTAAACTATTACTACTATTAGTTACTAAGTAGGCCTACTAAGTACACAGTATGAATAGTAATAGTATGATACAGTATTCATTCAGTATTCACTATATCAGCAGTGAGACAGTGACCATCAGTACTACTAATTATGCCTTCTATGCTAGTACTACTACTACTACGGACTACGGCTTGCTACGCCTACTACTACGGTAGTAGTAGTATTACTAGTACTACCAATGACACGACCCTACTCCCTACTAAGTTATTATTACTCAGTGAGTGAATCACTGAGATTTTAGGCCTACTAGACTCTAGATCTAGATCTAGATCTATTCCAATATTCCTGGAAGTGGTGAGTAGAAGAGTAAGACGTCACACTGTTGTATTGTAAGTCAAAACAGACTGAAAACAGAAGAGAGGGTCGTGTCATTCATAGTCATGCCATTGTTGTTTGTAAATTCAACCACAATAAAACAGTAGTATAGTATAGATCTAGGTCTAAAGAATAAAGAGACAAAACGTATTATACTACTTTTATACTAGCCTACATTAGTTAAATATAATAATATTTAATTAATATCCCCTTGGCTTACTACTTACTACTAGTAACTAGGTAAGCCTACCTTGTATACTATTTTTTGTTCGTTTTGTGTCATGTGACATGAGTCATGTGATTCAATCAAAAGTTCAAAATATTGTATTCGCTATGAAGAAACAAATTACGAAATATACATTTTTACTTTTAGGCCCTATCAGAGTTTCTTCCAGGCATCTCTTCGGGGGGGGGGGAAGGAGCTTTCTCCCCTCCCCCCGAAGAAAGTCTACCGCCCCCCCCCGAACAAAATGAAATTTATATAGAAAATATATACTTTTAACAGTGTCCGCCCCCCCCCGAACCGAAGAAATTCTAACCCCCCCCCCCCCCGAAAATTTCAAGGACTTTTGTAATCATGCAAGAAATCGAGATTGTGATAAATCTTAAAGCTTTACACCTTCCCGGGCCGGAAAATCATTTGCGATTTTTTTCCATCCATCTGCCTGTAACGGTAACTTGAGTACCATTTGAGTCAGTTTGACAAAATCTCGTGTAGGCTTCCCGTTTAAGTTAATACAAAAATTCATATTTAGCCTAGGTATCAAATTGTATGCGTAGGTTTCTGTAAACTTTTAAAAGATTTTCAATAAACAGAATGGGCAATTTATTTCTAGGAGAACTCGATCACTTGAGTAACATTTCAGTTGGTTAGACGAAATTTTATAAAGGTGCCTATTTTATACTTAGATTACTTTAAATGTTTGAGTGAGCTCAGATATTCGGAAGTGGTACTGTACTCTATTACCTTTTCAAAAAAAAAAACGATAACTTCAGCACTGTATTAAAAAGGTGGACAAAATGTCTTATATTCAGTGTTTCTTTCGGACTCTTTTCTCTTGGAGGGGGGCACTTGAAAAAAAATTTGGGGGGGGGGGGGGCGACACTGGTAAAAATATTTTTTCTTAATAAATTCTATAATTCTATTTCGTTGGGGAGGTGGGGGGTGGAGAGGTAGTTGGCGTTCTTGGGGATGCCTGAAAGAAACTGCTTATATTCACTGGTTTCTATCAAATTTTGATTGGTTTCCGGTGACCGGAAGTGGTATTGTAGTACACTGTTTCAGATTTCTCAAAAAAACTATCAGAATTATAATTTTAGTAATAGATCTATGTCCTATTAGCATTTTCTATACACTGATTGCATTGTTATATAAGAATATACAGTAAAGTTTAGGACCAATATTCCCCGGCTTTATTTTTCACGTGTGAATGAGGTGTGGTGTGAAGTTATCTTTGTGTGTGACTTTTGTGGGGTGAAGTTTTGTCATCTGACTGATTTTTTTTGTTTTAATGTGTGTGATTGATATTTGTGTGACTTGAATGTGTGTAAAGTTGTGTGTTTGTGACTAATGTATGATTTTTTCATCTGATCTATGAGTTGTGTGGTTTTTTTTAGAAGTTTGTATGTGTTGTGTCTGATTTTAAGCATTGCTGTGTCTGATGTGGAAGCTTTTGTCTGTGTCTGATGTGACTTGCAATGACATTTCCAGTCCTCTTAATTGTTAAAGAGGCTCAATAGATCTAACTGTAGATCTACTTTACTGGGACGTTAGTCTGTCAACAAGATCAAATTACTCAGAAGTTTCAATATGGCCATGCCAGCCAGTTTGTCTAACTATATGTACATTGGAACCAGGATTCAACCAATCAGTTCAGATCTCACCAAAGCAATTGTTTTGTTTCATGCACTTATAACATTCTGAATACTTTACGGTAGTTTTAAAAACATTTATTGTTTTAAAACATTAGCAAAACAAATGTTTAATAAATTATAATTAAATTATTAGAAATCAATTAGGCTACTATAAAATACATAAAATAAACAACAGGGAAGGAAATCAATATTTATAACCCAATAACTTTTATCAGACAAACATTTTTTTAAATTATCAGGCTAGTATATAAATATATAACATAGATTTATTTGATTGAAATTAACCGATTCTGGAATATTTTCCAAAAAATACACTGGACACATCAACTTTAATTACAACTTGATCATTTGTTGAGAAAAGTCCAATGAAGCCTCCAGTAAAGACTTCAGTGAAGTTATATCTGCCAATGTCAGTCACACCAAAAGTCGCCAGAGAAATAGTCACTGGGGTCGCTGAGCCTCCGTCATTCACATTTAAAACAGCAACTGCGTAACTTCCGATGGGTAAAACAGGACGTATCCAGCCTTGTATACCATTGGCCTGATTTTGGTGGTAATAAACCAGAAATAGATATTATTTATGGTAGAGATTTTATATAAAAAAAAATTTAAGTGGCTCAACACTTAGATACCATGGACTGGACGAATTGGACTATACTACAAACATATACATATAAAAGTTATATGTTCCATGTTTACCTGCCACGCCCTCTTGCCCATGATCCCTAGGGGGTCCTGGTTGATCGCAATGGCCCCTTTGTTTTGAATTAATCGGCGGGCTCTGTCAGACACGTTTCTGAGGTCGTTAGAGAGATAGAGTGGTGCAGCCATGATAGACCACAACGCCATTTGAACCTCTTCCTGGGAATCACTGAGACCTTTATCTCCAATTATTATCTAAGAATCACAGAAAGTTTTCAAATTTTAAAGGCTTCAAAGCTGAACAAGTTATGTTTCTAAGAGTGAAATTATGTCCTATTAGAGGAAAACTACCCATGTTTATATGGTACAACCATTTCAGAGTTTTTAAGTGGTGTTCAAAAATATGAGAAATGTTAAAATACCAGTACTACAATTTGATGGTAATTTCTTCAATGTATCCACTAAACCAGAAACACACACATATACACAAAACATGTTATAAAAAATAAGATAAAACCATCTTGGGCTGTGAAAAAATGTTTATAAAAAATAAGATGAAACTATCTGCAGCTGTGAAAAAATGTTTATAAAAAATAAGATGAAACTATCTGCAGCTGTGAAAAAATGTTTATAAAAATGTATATAAAAATAAGATAAAACTATCTGCAGCTGTGAAAAAATGTTTATAAAAAATAAGATGAAACTATCTGCAGCTGTGAAAAAATGTTTATAAAAATGTTTATAAAAATTAGATAAAACCATTAGCAGGTGTGAAAAAATGTTTACCATATCAGGATCATTAAAGTTGCCAGGGCCAGCAACTGCGCTGAAGTTGCCCTTGTTGTCCCCATAGAATTGAATTATATCTTTCACACTGTCCCATGAGTCATCGATGTCTGCGTAGTTTCTCCAAATGTTGCAGAACTCTGCTATCCTAGGATAGTCAGGCTGTTCAGATGATAAAAGTTATAATTTTTAACCAGACTGTTTAGTTGACAAAGTCACTTTTTTTTTTTTAATTTTTAGATTGTGTCTTTTATGCAAAAATTACCAAAGTAATAGCATTAATACTAATTTTGTATGTAGCCACATATTACTTTAAAGTAACGAGACAGCTTTCTTAAACAGTTTACAGTTGTTATTGTCGTAACATTTAGTCTTCTTATTAATTAACATTTTGGTCTATTATTTAAGTAACACTGTCAAAAACTCACCGTCTGCTTATTAATTAACATTTTGGTCAAATATTTAAGTAACACTGCCAAAAACTCACCGTCTGCTTATAATTAACATTTTGACCTAATCTCTAAGTAACGTTGTGAAAAACTCACAGTCTGCTGGTAAGCTGGCCAGCTACAGCTGTATAAGATTGGACGACCTGTTTTATTTAGGTAAAACTCCATGATTGGGTAAGCTGAAAAATAATTTCAACGTGTCACTTACTTGTGTGTGTGTTGAATTAACATAAATTGGCTAAAGCCTTTTTCTTAACACATTCCTTCAAGCAAAAATCAAATTCTCATAGGCCTACTTAATTAATTATCAAAAGCTAAAACATAAATTATTAATTTTTATTTCATTTTACAATTATCTCCCCTTATAATTTTTGTTAAAGCTTTAAAATATCACAAAGCAAAGGGAGAGCAAATCATTTATTATACTATATTAAATTTTAAAGCCTTCTTTAGATTAAATGTAAATTATTAGTTTTTCAGTATAAATCAACATTGTAAAAATAGACAATTTGTGAAGTCTGCCATCTTACCTACAATGAAGTCTGCCATCTTACCTACAGTGAAGTCTGCCATCTTACCTACAGTGAAGTCTGCCATCTTACCTACAGTGAAGTCTGCCATCTTACCTACAGTGAAGTCTGCCATCTTACCTACAGTGAAGTCTGTTGTTGTAGAGTAGCAACCATCCAACTTCAACGAGTCAATTCCCCATTCCGCAAATGTTGTAGCATCTGTCTCCAGGGTGAATTTGCTACCTGGGTAGCCTCCACAGGTAAATGTTCCCATATCACCATAGATACCAAGCTTCAGACCTTTGCTATGGACCTGAATAGAAAATTGTCAGTATGCATTAAATTTATTGCCTACTGCTTTGTGATTTTTTGTTGCATAATAAATGATGGTGAAAGAAATTACTAAACTATGGATTCAATACATTGTTATAATATTTAGGCCTACTTATTTACTAAAAATCAAAACATGACTAAAATAATGTAATTTAAATTTAAAAATGCACATAATCTGCTAGAGCCTACAAATGACCATAATGACGTACATAGTCTGCTACAAATTACCATAATGACTTACATAGTCTGCTAGAGCCTACAAATGACCATAATGACGTACATAGTCTGCTAGAGCCTACAAATGACCATAATGACGTACATAGTCTGCTAGAGCCTACAAATGACCATAATGACGTACATAGTCTGCTAGAGCCTACAAATGACCATAATGACGTACATAGTCTGCTAGAGCCTACAAATGACCATAATGACGTACATAGTCTGCTAGAGCCTACAAATGTCCATAATGACGTACATAGTCTTCTAGAGCCTACAAATGACCATAATGACGTACATAGTCTGCTAGAGCCTACAAATGACCATAATGACGTACATAGTCTGCTAGAGCCTACAAATGACCATAATGACGCACATAGTCTGCTAGTGCCTACAAATGACCATAATGACGTACGTAGTCTGCTAGAGCCTACAAATGACCATAATGACGTACGTAGTCTGCTAGAGCCTACAAATTACCATAATGACGTACATAGTATGCTAGAGTCTTAAATAAATTACCATAATGACGTACATAGTCTGCTAGAGCCTACAAATGACCATAATGACGTACATAGTCTGCTAGAGCCTACAAATGACCATAATGACGTACATAGTCTGCTAGAGCCTTAAACAAATGACCTTCTTCTTCTTCTTCTTCGTTCTTAATTATTAGTGTTAAAGGTGATCGAGATTTATCTGCCAGTGGGTTTGAACAAGAGACTTTGTTCGAATTTATCAACCATGAGCTTTTTGCCGACTCGACCACGCCTCCAACACAATTAAGCGGTACGTGTCAACTGGTTATGCGCCATTGAGGCCATTGACTCCGATTTCAGCCTGCTTTTCTTTTTGGATTTGCTTCCATAGCCTTTGTCCAACCAAGAACAAACTACAAGGCAGCAGTTGTTTTTATTTTTTGGAGTTGTCTCTCCTAGAAGAGTGGCTGTCCCCAGCTAACGAGCCTCATCTGCCCGAGGGTTCGAACTCGAGACTTTTCGGTTTAGCATCGGTTTAGCAACCATGAGCTTTACCAACTCGACCACGCCGACCCCAACAAATGACCATAATGACGTACATAGTCTGCTTGAGCCTACAAATGACCATAATGACGTACATAATCTGCTAGAGCCTACAAATGACCATAATGACATACATAGTCTGCTAGAGCCTTAAACAAATGACCATAATGACGTACATAGTCTGCTTGAGCCTACAAATGACCATAATGACGTACATAATCTGCTAGAGCCTACAAATGACCATAATGACATACATAGTCTGCTAGAGCCTTAAACAAATGACCATAATGACGTACATAGTCTGCTAGAGCCTACAAATAACCATAATGACGTACACAGTCTGCTAGAGCCTACAAATGACCATAAAGACGTACATCGTCTTTTAAAGCCTACAAATGACCATAATGACGTACATAGTCTGCTAGAGCCTACAAATGACCATAATGACGTACATAGTCTGCTAGAGCCTTGATGCCACTGGGGAATCGGTCAGGGTCTGGCACCAGCCGTAGCGTGACCGGGTCTCTCTGTTTGGCTGCCCAGCAGTCGTCAATGTTGACGTAGACATAGCCCGCATCCCTGTAGCCGTCTGCTGCAAGTCTGTCTGCCATGTCCTTGTACAGCCTTTCACTAGAGATAGACAGACAGTTGCGTTACTGACATACATTTGAATGAGCTGTTGTGTGATGGTCAGACAGTCGTGAGATGGGCTGTTGTGTGATCCAGCTGGATTATGGAATGGACTCACATTAGATTGGTTCATTCACACAGGCTTACCTGATACAGTTCAAGGGGTCATTGGCACAGTCCAAGTTGCAGCGAAACCTCTGCCAGGATAGCCAGCCCATGGGCGGGGTTCTGGCCAGCCCGTTGTCTACAGCCAGGGTGGGGCTGGCTAACATCAGGACCAGACACAGAAACTGGGGGGTGAGCGCCATCTGTCCAGCGAAAGGGTGGTACTAAGGTAGGTTCAGATTTTGGGGATTTTAATTAAATTTTAATTTAATACATTAAAAAATCGTGAATCCTCTGTTAACTCCACGACATAACAACAACACGCTTAATTTATAATAGCCCGGCTCAAGACTTGCTTTATTGCAATTGCCATCTCTTGGCTACCTGTGTTCGTTTTTTTTACTTCCGTGTTTTTATTTGTGTTTTTATTGATAGATGTACGAAAGACACGATCGAATTTTATTTCCTTGAGATTTTGAAAAATGTCCATGCGATCATTAATTTATTTTTACCGACCTTGAGTCAAGGTCAAATTTTGACCTATCAACGCCAAGCCGATAACGGATGATAAGATAAACAATCATACAAAAAACTAACGGCTAAGACAGGAGTGTTGAGGGTACTAGGTTAGAGCTACATCTAGACATGGCGTCTAGAATATAACTTAGCTCCCTCGTCGACAGAGTTTCTTCCAGGCATCCCGAAGAAAGTCTACCCCCCCCCCCCCCTCCGAAAATTTCAAGTGCCCCCTTCCCCCCCCCCCCCCCCCCCCCCCCCAAGAAAAAAGTGTGGAAGAAACACTGCTCGTCGACATGGGTACTAGGTTAGAGCTACATCTAGATATGGCGTCTAGAACAGAACTTTGCTCACTTGTCGACACCCTCCTGTGCTGATAAAATCAGCTTCTCCAACTTTAACAACTGGTTGTAGTCAGCTTCGCCGGCTAGGGAACCCACAAAAAATGTTAACCTGAGTTAGACCCTTGTTGGTTTGATAAATCCGGGCGCCAAAACACTAAAAAAATTATATGGTTTAGTGTGGGGGGGGGGAGACAACGATGCCGACAGAATTCCGATGAATTTGTTCGCACATATAAAAAATTATGTAAGTTTGTAGCAGACGATGTTTGAGCAGAAGGTAAATTCAAACACCCGGAAGTTAAAACTGCCGGATATTTTCTTAAAGATAGATGATTAACGCCCACTTGCAAATGGTGACGAGATAAGAAATTAATTAAGATGGTATTTTTTTTTAAAGGCTACATGGTTTAAAATGTAATAAGGCACACAATCTGAACATGTGTAATTATTAAGTGTGTATATTTAAAAAAAAAATTAAAATTGTTTAAAAAAAACAAAAAAACAAGTATACATGTTATGTCCACTTACAATTGAGTTGAAATTAGACCGCTAACAGCCGTGCAACATTCGAACAGTTTTCTAATCATAAACAATGTCATGTGACATGTCATGTGATTGGGTGATCTAGACCGGCCTTCGCCACTACAGATAAACTTGGTAAAAAACATGTCTTTGTTTAAAACATCTTGGGCTGGATAGATTAGCTAGATCAGCACCCAGATCAAAAGTAGAGCGAAAGGTGCATGCGACGCCCTAAAAACGTAACTTAAGTTATTGAAGAAAGAAAGTCAACTTTGATAACTGACAAACTGTTGTAAAAATAAAACAAGTATAAATATCTATATTAACAAAGCTTTTAAATACACTAAAAATATATAGGCCTAATGTAATTTGCTTTCTTTAATACAACATAATTTATCAATTTATTTTTTGGGGGTATTTAAAATCATTTTATTAAGGTTTTTATATTTATTTTCTACATTTTAGTAATTCGTTTTTTAGGGAGACGACACCACGTACAATCAGTAGCTCGCGATCTCCTCGACACCCGTTGTTTACGGACGTGAAAGCAACCATCCGTGACCAACAGCAAGTTGATCAAGCGATCACTAGTATTGATTCTTGTTACCTCCCCCTCAATTTATCTTTGAATTAAATTTCAAAATACTAGCACTAAATCAAAACGGAGTCACAAACCGACGTTGTGATCTATTTTCTAAGATCTCTCCCCTCCCCAAAGTCGTGGATACAGTCAGACAATTTCAACGGTAAAGAGACCAGGAAACCATTGTATTCAAAAATAAATTTATTACAAATCTGTTGATCCAAAGTGCATCCATCATTCACCAAAATGTTACAGAATAGATATAACCAATCACATCAACAATTTAAATAAACATTGCCTGAGTAATCTTTGTATCAAACCTACAATCAGACATTATCAGAAGAGATCAACTATCCCTGACTAATCCAGACAAAATTTCATCAAGACATAATGGTTCTACCAAAATGAAGTGTTCTTATAACTTCACTTCTGTAGCTGGACGTTTTGTCTCAACTCTTTAGATCAGGGGTCTCCAAACTTTTCAGTCCGAGGGCCGCATTAACTATCTAATTTCAGTTCGGGGGTCAGGTTCTTTAAGGCATGTCTTTGATTTTTCTGGGCAAAGTTCCTCAGCCATCACCAACAAACGACTTTTCCGTGGACAAAAAGACCTCCACGGGCCAGATGAAAGGACATCGCGGGCCGCATTCGGCCCGCGGGCCGTAATTTGGAGACCTCTGCTTTAGATAATCAGCTTTAATGTTAAATTTTAACTCACCCCACCCTGCAATCACAGGTAGGGAGACAATTTCAAAACAGGAAAATTTTAACAGGAAGACGAGATTTTTATATCATTATGCAAATAGATTTTGTAAAGCAAAAACGTGAAAAAGAAAATCATGTAAAATATCCCACAGCAGTCAGACTGCTGTAAAGAACAACTGGTGAACACAAGGAACAGTGCAGGCCCTGAGGCAGGTCTAGGAACAATTTCTTACAGTTGTACACACCTATATCACATCTATCAATGGAATCTGATGTTCTGGTTCTGGAATACTTGCATCTGTTTGGCTGTAGTTTGTATGGTACTAGAATGTAAACAGTAAGTTGATGTCAAGGTGATTAGTGGATGATACATGTACAACTAAAAAATTATACAAACACGCAGTAACCATACTAGGTAAACAATAGCAATAAACCTAATACATATTTTTAATTAACTTATTTAAATACCACACAGTGTAACCTATTATGACAAGCAAAGTTCATACATTACAGGAAAGTAGACAAGTGCTAAATGTATTTGTCAAAATGAACATTGTGAGTAAAAGTTCAGTTTAAAAGGGCAGAAGGCAATGTTTAAACTGTCATCCTTATAAGTCTTAAATAGCTAAAGTGGGAATCACTGTTAAGTTGGACTTAACAAGAGCTTTGACAAAAATGCAGGACACTATAAATTGATATCTTTTGATTATGTAACAGTTAAACGTCAACATGCTACAGCAGGGCTTAATCAAATACTGTTAATTAATGTAATTAAATACTGCACCTGCTCAAACTTCAGTTTAAAAACTGAAAACTGTTCCCAAAAATAAAGAATGAGGTGACAGTGAAGAAATTGTTAGTGCTCACCCCAGTACATTTGCAATAGGTTATGTCCCCTGAACGATATATATATATAGAGAGAGATCCTGTTCATAATAAGCCTGCTTTTAAATCTAGTATATTATAGTATTGAAAGGCTATAAATAGCTATTGAGGTACAGAAAAAATGCCAACATGAGCAAAAAATTCTGAAACAAGCTGCTAGTAAAACAAATTTAACATGGTAAAACGTATCCAGGAAGCAAATTGGACAAGTTCAACATTTAAAGCTATGAAAACTTCAAAACACCAAATTGTCAATCTGATACTATCAGCAGGCAAACTTCCATCAACAGCCGATTTTCCCATCCTTGTTACACTTTTCATGTAAATATATATAGAAGAGATTCATCTCAAAACTAATTAGAATGTAAAGTCTATCAAAACCTGTCCGTGGAAAGTACAATGTCCTCAAACTGAGATCATTGAGACTCCCTGATCAATATAATGCACGTGCTAAATATATTTAAAATTTAAACAGTAACCAGTAAATACTTGGTTAATTACCTTAATGACAATCAGAAAAGAAATCTACACAACCTAGTGTTATTAAACTTCCACAAAATCAATGAAATTCTGAAGTGCTATGAAATGACAGAATTCTATGATATTCTGTAAATAGTGCTAATAAATTACAAATTCTGTTTAAAGATGGTCATGGACACTAAAATGACACCAAATAACATCTAGCCACGAACATATAATGAACAAGGAAACAAAAAGTAGTGATATGCTCAATATCAACAATGTAAAATAACAGCCCAAAGTTTAAAAAAAAAAACATTTCAACAAACAAGTCAAAGTCAACAAAAGATCACTGCACCCAAGATCAGAAACACAAAACTTTGCCAGGAAACTGCATTCACTTCTGATGAATTTTCTGAATATCCAATGCCAAGTAGTTGGGCTGCCTTTTTTCTCGCCACTGGTTCATTGGGGTTGGGTTCATTGGGGCTGAACCAGGTATAGAAGCAGTCTTCAGTTTCAGGAACTACTTTAAATGAGTTTCCCATCACCGTCTCACAGAAGTTGTTGGCACCAGAATAAACCTGGTGGAATGGACGGCATTTGTTTCCTTCTGGACATGTATTGATGCCTGCAGAAAAAAGTTAAGCTCTATCAGCTTTTTTTTTTAAAGACTAGTTTTCAAATCCCCGACAGAACATGCAAACAAGTACAAAGTTGGCAATATTAATTCTAGTAAGAAATAGTAATCCGTCAAATGATAAAGTTAGGTGTATCATTTTAGATCGTAGGTCTATATTATTTTAGATCGTAGGTCTATATCACTTTACATGTTATAATGATTGCAGGATTCACAAAATAGATCAAAGGCAGGTACTTCTGGTGACCAATTATAGCCAAACAAAATGAATTACAAAATATGCAACTAATTACCTGTGGACCAATTAAACCCAGCTGCCCAGTTGTCTGTGCAGGTGAAGTCGTTGTTGCAGGCGTCCCACCACCTGTCACACACTGGCTGGCACAGAGGAACATCACGAAATCTTTCTTTACGAATCTTTCTAGTATCCTAGATAACCAAATTTAGACAGGAACATCACAACATATTTCTTTACAAATCTGTCTAGTATCCTAGATAACAATCAAATTTAGACACTTTAATAAATTTAACTCCACTGTCTACTAATTTAACTTTAGCTAGAGAGCACACATCCAGATGATACATTAAATCTACCAGGCCATTTATTGAAACACCAAATCAGAAATGCCTTGCCTGCTGCAGCCATGGGCCCACATTAGGGGAACACTCGTAGAAACACAGGTCCATGAGGAACTGCTCTCTACACTGGGGGCTCAGCTGCTGACAGTGATCCCAGTTAAAGTTCAACCAGCTGCTGCTTGTATCAATGTCCTTGACAACTTTGGAGGAACAGCAAGATCTCTTGGCCCAGGGCTTACAGTACTAGAAGGTCAGAAAGTTGGACTCTTTACTCATAGAAATCAATAAAAGTGTTTAAAATTAGTTTTCAAAAATGTCACTTGGTTAATATTTAAAGCAGTACTAGATCATACATTGTAAAGCAGTACTAGATCATACATTGTAAAGCAGTACTAGATCATACATTGTAAAGCAGTACTAGATCATACATTGTAAAGCAGTACTAGATCATACATAGTAAAGCAGTACTAGATCATACATTGTAAAGCAGTACTAGATCATACATTGTAAAGCAGTACTAGATCACACATTGTAAAGCAGTACTAGATCACACATTGTAAAGCAGTACTAGATCACACATTGTAAAGCAGTACTAGATCACACAGTGTAAAGCACTACTAGATCACACAGTGTAAAGCACTACTAGATCACACAGTGTAAAGCACTACTAGATCACACAGTGTAAAGCACTACTAGATCACACAGTGTAAAGCACTACTAGATCACACAGTGTAAAGCACTACTAGATCACACAGTGTAAAGCACTACTAGATCACACAGTGTAAAGCACTACTAGATCACACAGTGTAAAGCACTACTAGATCACACAGTGTAAAGCACTACTAGATCACACAGTGTAAAGCACTACTAGATCACACAGTGTAAAGCACTACTAGATCACACAGTGTAAAGCACTACTAGATCACACAGTGTAAAGCACTACTAGATCACACAGTGTAAAGCACTACTAGATCACACAGTGTAAAGCACTACTAGATCACACAGTGTAAAGCACTACTAGATCACACAGTGTAAAGCACTACTAGATCACACAGTGTAAAGCACTACTAGATCACACAGTGTAAAGCACTACTAGATCACACAGTGTAAAGCACTACTAGATCACACAGTGTAAAGCACTACTAGATCACACAGTGTAAAGCACTACTAGATCACACAGTGTAAAGCACTACTAGATCACACAGTGTAAAGCACTACTAGATCACACAGTGTAAAGCACTACTAGATCACACAGTGTAAAGCACTACTAGATCACACAGTGTAAAGCACTACTAGATCACACAGTGTAAAGCACTACTAGATCACACAGTGTAAAGCACTACTAGATCACACAGTGTAAAGCACTACTAGATCACACAGTGTAAAGCACTACTAGATCACACAGTGTAAAGCACTACTAGATCACACAGTGTAAAGCACTACTAGATCACACAGTGTAAAGCACTACTAGATCACACAGTGTAAAGCACTACTAGATCACACAGTGTAAAGCACTACTAGATCACACAGTGTAAAGCACTACTAGATCACACAGTGTAAAGCACTACTAGATCACACAGTGTAAAGCACTACTAGATCACACAGTGTAAAGCACTACTAGATCACACAGTGTAAAGCACTACTAGATCACTCAGTGTAAAGCACTACTAGATCACACAGTGTAAAGCACTACTAGATCACACAGTGTAAAGCACTACTAGATCACACAGTGTAAAGCACTACTAGATCACAGTGTAAAGCACTACTAGATCACACAGTGTAAAGCACTACTAGATCACACAGTGTAAAGCACTACTAGATCACACAGTGTAAAGCACTACTAGATCACACAGTGTAAAGCACTACTAGATCACACAGTGTAAAGCACTACTAGATCACACAGTGTAAAGCACTACTAGATCACACAGTGTAAAGCACTACTAGATCACACAGTATAAAGCACTACTAGATCACACAGTGTAAAGCACTACTAGATCACACAGTGTAAAGCACTACTAGATCACACAGTGTAAAGCACTACTAGATCACACAGTGTAAAGCACTACTAGATCACACAGTGTAAAGCACTACTAGATCACACAGTGTAAAGCACTACTAGATCACACAGTGTAAAGCACTACTAGATCACACAGTGTAAAGCACTACTAGATCACACAGTGTAAAGCACTACTAGATCACACAGTGTAAAGCACTACTAGATCACACAGTGTAAAGCACTACTAGATCACACAGTGTAAAGCACTACTAGATCACACAGTGTAAAGCACTACTAGATCACACAGTGTAAAGCACTACTAGATCACACAGTGTAAAGCACTACTAGATCACACAGTGTAAAGCACTACTAGATCACACAGTGTAAAGCACTACTAGATCACACAGTGTAAAGCAATACTAGATCACACAGTGTACAGTAGTACTAGATCACAGAGTGTACAGTAGTACTAGATCAGAAAGTGTACAGTAGTACTAGATCAGAAAGTGTACAGTAGTACTAGATCAGAAAGTGTACAGTAGTACTAGATCAGAAAGTGTACAGTAGTACTAGATATACCTGAACCCAATAAAGAGTTGTATGTTAAAACCTTAGTCCAATATTTACCTGTGTGAGCAGCTCATTCTCCGGCCCAGGTGCAGACTTGTGATTCCTGCCGTCCAGACAGATGTTCAGATAGTCGTCCACAGTCTTCAGAGAGTCGAGCCGTGCAGACGTCAGGGGCAGGAGGGTCACCAGGGCAATCATCAGCTCCAACATTTTCAAAGGCTGAAAGACAAGTTTAGACTGCTAGTTTAGTTCCACTTACGCTAAAGTCTGCTCAAAGCAAATGCTGAACATGCACACAAAGCCTCACGAAAGTTTTTTTTTTTTTAAACTGTCTGATACTAACTAACTATCACACAAACGTCCATCCAAATTTTTAAGCCATAAATATTTGCCTTTTCGAATACTATTAGGTCTACAATTAAAACTTTAAATACTCCGGCGAAACTAAATATAGATCTAGAAAAGATCTGTCCCTTTTGCTATATTTTCCAAAACATGAAGCACAGACCATGTTGAATAACCAGCGTTATTGCCTTAAGCCAACGGCCGAATGTATATTAATATGAGGCACGACAAACTATGTACGAGAACAAGTTCGTTTCCTTAGGGTAGCTGATAAACCATTTCCTTAGGGTAGCTGATAAACTAACTAACCAACACGTTCGTTTTCTTAGGGTAGCTGATAAACTAACCGTTTCCTTAGGGTAGCTGATAAACTAACCGTTTCCTTAGGGTAGCTGATAAACCAACTAACCAGCACGTTCATTTCCTTAGGGTAGCTGATAAACTAACCAGAGTTTAGTGATAAGTCCAATCCACAGTTGCACGTCAGAAAGTCCAGAGAGAAATGACAGCCGACACAACAACTTATTCGCGGTGCTGTACTGTAGGGGTGACTGTCCTCGCCTGGCCGAATGGGAGGTGGGGGGGGGGGGAGACAATCCTCGACTATTCGAGCAGTGTTCACACGGTCCGGCCAACTAAACCAATCATAACATCGTGTTTGTGGTGTAGACAACAGAACCAATCATAACATCGTGTCGTGTAGACTGTAGACAAAACACAAATCATGGAGAAATCACAGTGCGAGTAAATTACTGACGACGTTAGTACCGTTGGGGGGGGGGGGGGGGGATCATTTAAAAAAAACTGGTTTATTTTAATGTGACGCATCAGTGATTAGTTTTAAAAAGTAGACCCTAGGCGAACTGCACAAAGAACTGAAAGCTTTTTTTTTTTTTGCTCGTATGAACAACCTCACGCTCTGCTGCCATCCAAATGTAGGATGCCGACAAACTTTACATAGCTAGCGACTGGGTAGACAGGACCTGATTTGAACGGACCCCCGTCCTACCATCAAGAAATATTTGATTCCCTTCCCTCGTTATATTGTATCAGTCGTCATACCAAGTCCCGTCCATCATATCAATTATGTTTTTCTGTTTGTCTAGCACACGTGGGAATAAATGTAGATGTATTTAATGTTAGTCTTTTGGTGATACGGCGTTAAAATATGTAACTTTCTAAGACTTTCTAGCTATAGGGTTAGGCTACAGCCCGTTTATTTTTTAAAGTACGCCTAACGTGACGGGACACTCGTCAAACCTGGTGATGACAGAATCATTAACCTCGGGCTGAGCAAAACATGAGTTAGGCCTATTACAGGCCTGTGTATTCGTGTATCACACACAATTACATGAGTTATTACAGGCATGTGTATTACACACACAATTACATGAGTTATTACAGGCATGTGTATTACACACACAATTACATGAGTTATTACACTTTACAGGCCTGTGTATTCGTGTATCACACACAATTACATGAGTTATTACAGGCATGTGTATTACACACACAATTACATGAGTTATTACACTTAGCAGGCCTATGTATTCATGTAACACACACAATTACATGAGTTATTACAGGCCTGTGTATTCGTGTATCACACACAATAACATGAGTTATTACAAGCAAATATATTGTTTAAATCCTGAATCTTACATCCACCAGTTATTATAGACCTAGCTTAAACATTCTACACCATTTATCAATGGCCCATGACAAAATTGCATCAGTTTTCACCAGTTCGTGTGAACTTAAAGTTGAATATTCTTTGGAGTGGAGCCAGCTGTTGTCTGCTGGTTGGGATGGGGGGTGGGGGGGGGGGTGTGGCAATTCAGTAATTGTAGAAATTGTTAGCTTGAAGCTTGAGCATAAACCTTTGTGACCTAGGGTTAGACTCTTATAAAACGGGTGAATTCTCTATTCATGATGTGGAGACTTTAAATAGCTAACTATGCCAGCAATCTTAAGCAACATGAGTGGTCCAATACATGGTTGCACCTGGTGGTCTAATACAGGTTGTACCTGGTGGTGGTCCAATACAGGTTGTACCTAGTGGTGGTCCAATACAGGTTGTACCTGGTGGTCCAATACAGGTTGTACCTGGTGGTCCAATACAGGTTGTACCTGGTGGTCCAATACAGGTTGTACCTGGTGGTGGTCCAATACAGGTTGTACCTAGTGGTCCAATACAGGTTGTACCTGGTGGTCCAATACAGGTTGTACCTGGTGGTACATTACAGGTTGTACCTGGTGGTGGTCCAATACAGGTTGTACCTGGTGGTACATTACAGGTTGTACCTGGTGGTGGTCCAATACAGGTTGTACCTGGTGGTCCAATACAGGTTGTACCTGGTGGTCCAATACAGGTTGTACCTAGTGGTCCAATACAGGTTGTACCTGGTGGTGGTCCAATACAGGTTGTACCTGGTGGTGGTCCAATACAGGTTGTACCTGGTGGTCCAATACAGGTTGTACCTGGTGGTCCAATACAGGTTGTACATGGTGGTGGTCCAATACAGGTTGTACCTGGTGGTCCAATACAGGTTGTACCTGGTGGTCCAATACAGGTTGTACCTAGTGGTCCAATACAGGTTGTACCTGGTGGTGGTACATTACAGGTTGTACCTGGTGGTGGTACATTACAGGTTGTACCTGGTGGTGGTACATTACAGGTTGTACCTGGTGGTGGTCCAATACAGGTTGTACCTGGTTGTGGTCCAATACAGGTTGTACCTGGTGGTGGTCCAATACAGGTTGTACCTAGTGGTCCAATACAGGTTGTACCTGGTGGTCCAATACAGATTGTACCTGGCGGTGGTCCAATACAGGTTGTACCTGGTGGTGGTCCAATACAGGTTGTACCTAGTGGTGGTCCAATACAGGTTGTACCTGGTGGTCCAATACAGGTTGTACCTGGTGGTCCAATACAGGTTGTACCTAGTGGTCCAATACAGGTTTTACCTGGTGGTGGTCCAATACAGGTTGTACCTGGTGGTGGTCCAATACAGGTTGTACATGGTGGTGGTCCAATACAGGTTGTACCTGGTGGTGGTCCAATACAGGTTGTACCTGGTGGTACATTACAGGTTGTACCTGGTGGTCCAATACAGGTTGTACCTGGTGGTACATTACAGGTTGTACCTGGTGGTGGTCCAATACAGGTTGTACCTGGTGGTGGTCCAATACAGGTTGTACCTGGTGGTCCAATACAGGTTGTACCTGGTGGTACATTACAGGTTGTACCTGGTGGTGGTCCAATACAGGTTGTACCTGGTGGTGGTCCAATACAGGTTGTACCTGGTGGTCCAATACAGGTTGTACCTGGTGGTGGTCCAATACAGGTTGTACCTAGTGGTCCAATACATGTTGTACATGGTGGTACAATACAGGTTGTACCTAGTGGTCCAATACAGGTTGTACCTGGTGGTACATTACAGGTTGTACCTGGTGGTGGTCCAATACAGGTTGTACCTGGTGGTGGTCCAATACAGGTTGTACCTAGTGGTCCAATACAGGTTGTACCTGGTGGTGGTCCAATACAGGTTGTACCTGGTGGTCCAATACAGGTTGTACCTGGTGGTGGTCCAATACAGGTTGTACCTGGTGGTGGTCCAATACAGGTTGTACCTGGTGGTGGTACATTACAGGTTGTACCTAGTGGTGGTCCAATACAGGTTGTACCTGGTGGTGGTCCAATACAGGTTGTACCTGGTGGTGGTCCAATACAGGTTGTACCTGGTGGTGGTCCAATACAGGTTGTACCTGGTGGTGGTCCAATACAGGTTGTACCTAGTGGTGGTCCAATACAGGTTGTACCTAGTGGTCCAATACAGGTTGTACCTGGTGGTACATTACAGGTTGTACCTGGTGGTGGTCCAATACAGGTTGTACCTGGTGGTGGTCCAATACAGGTTGTACCTGGTGGTGGTCCAATACAGGTTGTACCTGGTGGTGGTCCAATACAGGTTGTACCTAGTGGTGGTCCAATACAGGTTGTACCAGGTGGTCCAATACAGTTTATTCAGGTTGTAACTAGTGGTCCAATACAGGTTGTACCTGGTGGTACATTACAGGTTGTACCTGGTGGTGGTCCAATACAGGTTGTACCTGGTTGTGGTCCAATACAGGTTGTACCTGGTGGTCCAATACAGGTTGTACCTGGTGGTCCAATACAGGTTGTACCTAGTGGTGGTCCAATGCAGGTTGTACCTGGTGGTGGTTTAATACAGGTTGTACCTGGTGGTCCAATACAGGTTGTACCTGGTGGTCCAATACAGGTTGTACCTGGTGGTCCAATACAGGTTGTACTTGGTGGTCCAATACATGGTTGTACCTGGTGGTCCAATACAGGTTGTACCTAGTGGTGGTCCAATACAGGTTGTACCTGGTGGTGGTTCAATACAGGTTGTACCTGGTGGTCCAATACAGGTTGTACCTGGTGGTACATTACAGGTTGTACCTGGTGGTGGTCCAATACAGGTTGTACCTGGTGGTGGTCCAATACAGGTTGTACCTGGTGGTGGTCCAATACAGGTTGTACCTGGTGGTGGTCCAATACAGGTTGTACCTGGTGGTGGTCCAATACAGGTTGTACCTGGTGGTCCAATACAGGTTGTACCTGGTGGTGGTCCAATACAGGTTGTACCAGGTGGTCCAATACAGTTTATACAGGTTGTACCTAGTGTTCCAATACAGGTTGTACCTGGTGGTACATTACAGGTTGTACCTGGTGGTGGTCCAATACAGGTTGTACCTGGTTGTGGTCCAATACAGGTTGTACCTGGTGGTCCAATACAGGTTGTACCTGGTGGTCCAATACAAGTTGTACCTAGTGGTCCAATACATGTTGTACATGGTGGTGGTCCAATACTGGTTGTACCTGGTGGTCCAATCCATGTTGTAACTGGCGGTGGTCCAATGCAGGTTGTACCTGGTGGTGGTCCAATACAGGTTGTACCAGGTGGTCCAATACAGTTTATACAGGTTGTACCTAGTGTTCCAATACAGGTTGTACCTGGTGGTACATTACAGGTTGTACCTGGTGGTGGTCCAATACAGGTTGTACCTGGTTGTGGTCCAATACAGGTTGTACCTGGTGGTCCAATACAGGTTGTACCTGGTGGTCCAATACAAGTTGTACCTAGTGGTCCAATACATGTTGTACATGGTGGTGGTCCAATACTGGTTGTACCTGGTGGTCCAATCCATGTTGTAACTGGCGGTGGTCCAATGCAGGTTGTACCTGGTGGTGGTTTAATACAGGTTGTACCTGGTGGTGGTCCAATACAGGTTGTACCTGGTGGTCCAATACAGGTTGTACCTGGTGGTCCAATACAGGTTGTACCTGGTGGTCCAATACAGGTTGTACCTGGTGGTCCAATCCATGTTGTAACTGGCGGTGGTCCAATGCAGGTTGTACCTAGTGGTGGTTTAATACAGGTTGTACCTGGTGGTCCAATACAGGTTGTACCTGGTGGTCCAATACAGGTTGTACCTGGTGGTCCAATACAGGTTGTACCTGGTGGTCCAATACAGGTTGTACCTGGTGGTCCAATACATGGTTGTACCTGGTGGTCCAATACAGGTTGTACCTAGTGGTGGTCCAATACAGGTTGTACCTGGTGGTGGTCCAATACAGATTGTACCTGGTGGTCCAATACAGGTTGTGCCTGGTGGTGGTCCAATACATGTTGTACCTGGTGGTGGTCCAATACAGGTTGTACCTGGTGGTGGTCCAATACAGGTTGTACCTGGTTGTGGTCCAATACAGGTTGTACCTGGTGTTCCAATACAGGTTGTACCTAGTGGTGGTCCAATACAGGTTGTACCTGGTTGTGGTCCAATACAGGTTGTACCTGGTGGTGGTCCAATACAGGTTGTACCTGGTGGTGGTCCAATACAGGTTGTACCTGGTGGTGGTCCAATACAGGTTGTACCTGGTGGTCCAATACAGGTTGTACCTGGTGGTCCAATACCTATTGATCCTATGCTAAAACATACACCCATGTCAAACACTGTCTATTCTCCTAAGCATAAATCTACACAAACACTGCACCTAGTACTTTAATAACAGTAACTTACTACTCCTATGATAACTTCAGCAAATTTGAAAAAAGCCCATGAAGGCAAGTCAAGTGTGGCCAGGACAATGGCAAGTGGCATTCCTGTCTCCTTCATTAGATTAGCTACATTACCCATCATGTGGCAGTTGTACAGACAAAATAACAAGTGCTGCTTCACAATCACAATACAAGTTTGTGTATTAAAAACATTATCGAGGTCAATGACCATGAATGTTATCTGATCAGATTTTTAGCAACAAAAAAAAGCTAGTCTGTTGACTTCTTTAACTACACAGTTCATTTTAAATTGAAAATGTGGGAGGAAAAGGTTGGTTAGAAACAAGTCAACTCTTCTTCACCTGTCGTATTTACGGCTAACTGTTTTTTTCCCATCATTTAATCTCTTCTTTTTCTCATAGACAATTAAAATAAACATACTACATAAGTGTTGTGTACATGCACATAGATCACCTGATTAGCCTACATGCACAAAGATCACCTGATTTGCCTACCTGATACTTGACTAGTTGGTTTTCATTAACTTTTTCATCTGCCAATCCTTAAAGAAAATAGTCAACTGTTTAGTAAAAGATAAAATTATTAGAATTTTTCTTTTTAATTATGCAGATTGAATTTCTTAATCTTAGTAAGATAACTGATACTAGCATGACTAAAAAATGAGATAAGTAAGCAATTAAATCACAATTGACTTCACAAATAAATCATTACGTAAAGAATAATACAAATATAGGACCTAGATCTATATATTTTTTAAAAACTTTGTAACAATGAGCTTTTAAATGCTTTAAAAAAATTTAAAATAACAGAATAAACTTGCAAGTGAGCTATGCTTTTAATAAAGAAAGCAAGCATGTGGTCAACTTATTGTCATGAAACCAACCAGCTGTGAACAGCAGTTCACCACTTTTGGCTAGCTGCTTGAAGGATGGCTAATAATTAATCTTGTTATCTCCCTTTTATTAATTCAGTAATCTTTTAATGTATAGCCTACTTAATGACTAATCTAATGTATAATTAGACTAAAAAAATAGATATTCTTGCAATGTCATTCGAGACAAGTGTTTCTGGAAAGTTTTAATGAACTCACTGCTTCAGAAGTATGAGCTCAATAAATAAATATTATTGTTCTTGCTTTTTGTTTTATAATTATAATTTTAACTTAAAAGACAGGCTTATACAGTATTTTGAATTGTAAAATTATTTTTTTTTTCATTCAAAAATTTGAACCAGTTAATATGAAGTGACATGATAACACTGTTACCAATAGCAACAACTCCCTGAATATGCCACTTCTAGAGCCTATGGTATTATAAGATCCATTAATTTAATAATTTGGATATTGCCTTAAAAAATAGTCATATAAGATATAGGTTTATCTAGCCTAAAAAGTTAATCACCCTGGCTGTAACAAAAAAAAACTAAACATAAAAATACTAGTATAAAGTATAGATTTATTTAAATCTAGTAGGCCTACTTGACTTTATTAAATAAAAATTCTTAATTCACCTTAATATAATATTTTCGAAACAAGACTAAAGCTTAATTGGATCTTGGATTACACTTTTACTTATTTTAATTAGACTGATAATGGTTAACCAACTGCATTGTAGGTCTTATTACTATTTTGCCAGATTTCATTCCAAATATTTCTAGACTACCTGGCCTGGAAAGTGTCAATTATAGTATTATTATATAGTAAAAAATATATAGCTATATTACTAATCAGGCTACAAATTAACTAAGGCCTAGTTGTATAATGATCCCTAATTCATTAACTGATAAGGTCTGAGACTTATAGTACTAGTAGCCTAATTATTTAATTGTTACTAATAAATCATATTAGTACCTAGATCTAATAATTTTACTAAGTAGTAAAACAATAGGCCTTCAATGATATAAATTGTAATAAATCATTAATTGTTAATAAAGGCCTCAGGGGCTTAAAATAACACCTAATTACAGGCAATTAGTTGAACTAGTTAGGCCCTATATTTTTTTTAGGACGCCAAATTAATTCATAATTGAAATTAATTAGCCTATTACAAATCAATAGTAATATACAATATACTATATATAGTATATAGGCCTGTTTTTAATAGGTCTTATATTAGTCTATAGGCCTATTATTTATTATTATTTCTATAGGCCTAATTATTATTTAATATCAATGTTAGAAAGTTTTCATATTTCATAGTTCATAGCCCTCTCTAAACTCTAATAATTGGATTAATTGGCCTAATTAATTAAATTAGCCTATAAAAATAATAATAAATAATAGGCCTATCCTACAGACTAAAAACTATTATAAGGGGCCTAATTAATTTCAATTAATTTGGCGTAGACCTACTAAAAAAATTAGGTAATCTATCGTTTTAGGTAGGCCCTACGTAAAATCGCCCGCGACGTAATGTGAAAAACAAGTGACTCCTTAATAAATTTTAATTATTTCACATTTTGAGGGGGATAAAGATTTATCGCTAGTCTTCATTTATTACTGAAAAGTTTTAATTCAATTGTTTGAAAACAGGTAGAATCTAGATCTACATTAATAATTAAATGAAACAAGGAAACATTTTTGAACTTTTTAAAACATAGATTCTAAATCCTCATCAACATGTGAAATAATTATTAAAATTTAAGGAGTCACCTGTTTTTCACATTACAAGTCGCGGGCGATTTTACGTACCCAAAACGATAGATTACCGATTAATTATTAACTAATTATAATTATAGATATTGTCAGATATCTAAATCTACTAATTATTAATTAATATAGAAATCTAGATCTAGATCTAGTAAATCTAGATACAGTAGATAGATCTAACTACTACTAGATCTACTACTAGACTCTAGATCTAGTACTTACTAACTATTAACTAACTAGACGTCTAAAACCTTATTACAAATATTGAAAATATAAATAAAATATTCTAGACTTATAGATTATAGATCTAGATCATTATATAAATTACACATTAGACTAGACATTTTACGCGCGACACACGTGGGTTATAGATAGATCTATTATTACTCCTGTTCCATTAAATGTAACACACTATAAGAGGCCTTGCCCTATGACCTTTAACCTATGCATTGCATATCGGCAGGCTGCTATAAAACTTGACAACTCGTGAAATGGAAATCTAGATCTACCACTCTTATGCCAGTGAAGGTTTACACATTTTGGCCATCGATGATTTTAACAAAAAAAATAAATGTTTTATTTTCTAAATAGTTTTTATATAGTAGTTAGTAGGTATATATTAAGCCCCATATAGTCTAGACCCAGATCTAGGCTATTTGTTTTATTTTTAAAATTTGTTTTAGTTTTAGAGTCTAGTAACCAAGCTAAAATGTTGAAGAGAGTTATTTTGTATGCATTGACTACCACACTTTACCATAGGCAAACAAAATCCTACATTTGATTTACTGTCCTACACGTTTAGGTTAGACTCTCAAAAAGCGTTCGTACATCAATAAAATTCGATAATGGCCGACATTTAGGGCCTACGCATCAACAGGAAAATGGGTTTCTTTCAGACTGTATCCGGGGTGAGAGGGGGGGGGGGGGGGACTGGCATATTAATATATTATGTTGTATATAATGTACGGCCTTAATTTTTTTTTCGTCTGTGAGGGGGGGGGGGGGGGTAGATGTGCTCCTGTGAGGACTGCCCCTCCCCTTTCCTCCGGAGGAATGCATTAAAAAGAAACACTGTAAGATGTACACAATATTACAAGACTGGCCTTTCATATCATTGAATGCACCATCTAATATAAAACAAAGGCTTACACGTACACCATCTAATACAGAAACAAAGAGCCTATGCAACCATACTCTAATGTGGAAACAAATTTAAGAGCCTCTATGTGCACCCTTTAGCCTAGAAATCCTCAACAAATATCGTATAACTAGGGCTATAAGCATGTAAATCAACCGGCGAATATCTCCTTTGTGTGAGTGATATATCACTATTGCTAGAGTTAACATCTCCTTTGTGTGAGTGATATATCACTATTGCTAGAGTTAACATCTCCTTTGTGTGAGTGATATATTACGAATGCTAGGGTTAACATCTCCTTTGTGAGAGTAATATATCACTATTGCTAGAGTTAACATCTCCTTTGTGTGAGTGATATATTACGAATGCTAGGGTTAACATCTCCTTTGTGAGAGTGATATATTACGAATGCTAGGGTTAACATCTTTGTGTGAGTGATATATTACGATCGCTAGAGTTAACATCTCTTTTGTGAGAGTTGAAAGTTTCGAAGGTCTTCGTCAGCGCACAACAATATGGTTAAAGACTATACTATAAGACAAAAAGACAAGCAGTAACATTGGACATTGAAAGCAGAGTCTTTTTTTCAAAATGCCACGATATCCAAATGGCTTATTTATGTGGTTTATTAATAAACATACTGACTCATATTAAAAATGAGGTTGGTTGTTTTTTTGTTTTTTTTTAGAGCTGATGTAAGTCATTGTGCGTACGTCAGTTTTTAAGCTAAGCAGAATGCGTAATCGACCTCCCAAATGTTTATTATTGTACTCCTGTGGCCTGATCAGAGGCGTAGCTAGGGGAGGGTGTGTGGGGTGGCTGCCCGGGTGCTTAACCTAAGGGGGCGCCAAACAGGGCAGAAAATAAAAGAACATTCTGAGCTTCATTGCTGAATTATACACAGTTAAAATAAATAAAAACTACTGCTTGACTTTCAAGACTGATTTAACTGTTTTCTACATAAATAGTGTTTTAAATGGGATGGGGGCAAAAATTGATCGTTCGCCCCTGGGCTCAAGAATGGGTCGCTACGCCTCTGGCTGGATGACCTTGTCAGGTTCGAAGAGTATCAGTGAATGAATTTAAACAAATTAAAAAATAAGAATACCTCTTGACACTTATAAGGCCAGAGTTTCTTCCAGACATCTCTTCGGGGGGGGGGGGGGGGAGGGAGGCGACCCCCCCCCCCCCGAAAATTTCTAATTCCCCCCCCCCCCGGAGAAAAAAAGTCTAAAAGAAACACTGCCCAAGGCCCAAATCAGCCGTCCACAAAAGATCCACACTCAGCCGTACACCACTTGACCCACATTCAGCCGTAAACATCCCACATCCATCCGTACACAACACAATATCAGGTGTACACAAATACATGCATTTTAGGTCTGGGAAAACAATAAGACTACAACTACTATTCTCTAAATCTAGACTAACTACCAAAGTACGTAGATCTAGTTAAAAATACATAAATTATACTAATTGGTTTTCACCAAGCCTATGTAAATTCAAGCAACAATTAAAAGGCTCAATTAAGTGGATGTATGAGATCATAGGTGTTTGACGCATCTGCCTTATAGATACCGCAATTCCTAGACCTAGATTGATAGACAGTCTCTACTGTGTTTGTAGCGATTGAAAATATTACAGCCCATCCTACCAACCAGTACCAAGCTGTTGCTAAGTTGGGCTAGGCTATCTCCGTAGTTGGCTGCTTGCGTAAGCTGTTTTTTTGGTGATGTTAGTCCGCAAAGAAAAAAAGTTCTCCTAAATATTGTGAAATGCGTGAAGAAATAGTGATATAACTATTGACATATACAATAATCGTAAAGGTAAATACTTAACGCCTACTTTAACTTCTAATAAGGTATCAATATGTATTTTTAAACCTCATTTATTAATAAGTATGACGTAATAATATTTATATTCCTATTTGACCAATCATTGCTTGTTTAGGCCTACATTTCATGTGACGTATCTAGGCTCATTTATAAAAACGCATTTCACCACCTTGAACTACGTTATTGATTACAAACTTATCCTGCCAGAATTAAACTGCGAGCGACATTTTGTCCAACGTCTTCTTTATCCTAGCATATAATATTACAGCACCAATATGCAGATCTTCGTTAAAACACTGACTGGTAAAACAATCACGCTTGAAGTAGAACCATCAGACACCATTGAAAATGTCAAAGCTAAAATACAAGACAAAGAAGGAATCCCTCCTGATCAACAAAGGTTGATTTTTGCCGGAAAGCAGCTTGAAGATGGACGAACTTTATCGGACTACAATATACAGAAGGAATCAACCCTTCATCTTGTTCTCAGACTCAGAGGGGGTAAGCTTGCCCTAGTATTTAACTCTAGATAATAAATACTGCATAGGACTATAGAGATTCTAGATTCTAGGCCTAAAAACTCAACAGGCCAAATTCAGGTCTAGGGAATCTAGTTCTAGAGTCTAGAATTAAATCTACTTATTACTAGATCTACTTATTGTACTTAATCTAGAGTCTAGGACTCTAGATCTAGAAAATCTAGATAGATCTATCTAGATTATTCTCGATCTAGAATTTAGAATGTCTAGATATAGTGAAATCTAGTCATTTCTAGAATATTCTAGATTCTAGAGGAGTTTACACTTTTCGGACACACACCAAAAATTACGTAGGACCGAACACTTCGTCGGTTTTTGGCTCATAGAAACTTTAATTAGCATGTCTCACGCGAAACCACGGCGCCTGCACGTAAACTGTTCATTTATGAACACTTCCGTGTCAAGTACTTCCGTTTCCTTTCTCAAGAATTATTTTTAGAAATTTTTTAACGTTGCATGGTACGCACATTTCTATTTTTACACCAGCCCGATGAAGTGACCTAGGGTTGGACTTAGGGGCAAAACTTGAACCAATCAATGCTTAGCTAAAAGGTTACACTATAAATAGCTTCTTTATATGTATGGAACATCGTAAATGTCAAGGTTAATGGGTTTTTTTGTGCTTGAACAATAAAAAAGGGGTGTTCGCTAACTTATTTGGCCTTACATGGGAGCGGACAGCAACACAAAAATATTACTAAATAAGAATTTAGAGCATAAAAGGGGCTGGTTATTGAAGGGAAAGGGTCAAAATAAGGTCAAGAAGGCAGTGGAATGCGAAAGAGGAGGGGGAATCATGTGACCTGGCTGGCTTAGCAGCGTACTGCGCGAGCCGCAATGGCTGAATGGGATGAACTTTGGGAGTGTGGGAAAAAGGTTTTATACTATTAACATTACCTCACAAACAATCAATAACACAATATACATGCATATAATATATGTTTTTATTCATTAAATTGACTTTAAATTATTCTAAATGAACAAAAAGTGCTATGTCCGATGACGGGTAAAGGTGTCCGAACACATGTAAAACTGTATTACATGTGTTCGAACACACGTTAAGACCCCCCAGTCACTATAACAAGAATAGCTTAAGTTCTATGCGTATGAATACAAAATGACACACACATTATTAAAGTAGAATGGTTGCGGATAGATATGATACTTTTTTTTGTTTTCTATGTTAAGCGGTTACTGAATGAGACCGCATGGAATTTTTACGTTGCGTTTTTTCGCTATGTGTGTCCGAAAAGTGTAAGCTCCTCTAGGTCTAGTCCGATCTATCTAGATTCTAGAATCTAGATATCTAGACTCTAGTTCTAAATCTAGATTAGATTTGAATTAGATCTAGATCTAGAGTATCTAGAGTAGAATAATCTAGATCTAGAGACCTAGGATTCTAGAGCTAGATTCTAGATCTAGACCTTTCTACAGATAGCAGAGGCCTAATTGTTTAATTATTAAGCCTTCCTTGACAAGGCATTTTATACTTTTTAACTATACTTTTTAACTATGGCCTATTACAAAGTATTAAATTGAAATAAACATTGTAAAATCCACTTCAATTTTAACGAGCATTACTTAAAGTGTTGATTCAGTAAGGCTCATGCTTTTCTGTAGAAGTCAGTAATGTAATCACAACCAGTGGTTTGTGACTTAAAAATTAATTATAATTAATATCAATGTACAGCCTATGGACTAGAGTAGAGGGCACATTTCTAGCGCTCTGGACCTAGTGTTTTGTAGTAGATCTAGTAAATGTAATCATTTTGAGTATCATCTACAAATTTAGGTGATGAGTGATTAGACAATCATAACATAGGTTAATTTTTTCCCAAATTTTACTACTAATTTTTATCAAGACTGATAGTATGTAGAAAAACAGTTATCATTCCTCTTCTTAAGTGAAACATCATTAAAGCTTGAAATGCAACATGCACATATACTATGTAAAATATTACCTAAACATATGATGTAAAGTAATGTGTATTCCTTTTTTGTCACAGGCATGCAAATCTTTGTGAAGACCCTCACTGGCAAAACCATCACCCTTGAGGTTGAACCATCAGACACCATTGAAAATGTCAAGGCCAAAATCCAAGACAAAGAAGGCATTCCCCCAGATCAACAGCGTCTGATCTTTGCTGGCAAACAGCTTGAGGATGGTCGCACTCTGTCAGATTACAACATTCAGAAAGAATCAACCCTTCATCTGGTGCTTCGTCTGAGAGGTGGTATGCAAATCTTCGTGAAGACCCTCACTGGCAAAACCATCACCCTTGAGGTTGAACCATCAGACACCATTGAAAATGTCAAGGCCAAAATCCAAGACAAAGAAGGCATTCCCCCAGATCAACAGCGTCTGATCTTTGCTGGCAAACAGCTTGAAGATGGTCGCACTCTGTCAGATTACAACATTCAGAAAGAATCAACCCTTCATCTGGTGCTTCGTCTGAGAGGTGGTATGCAAATCTTCGTGAAGACCCTCACTGGCAAAACCATCACCCTTGAGGTTGAACCATCAGACACCATTGAAAATGTCAAGGCCAAAATCCAAGACAAAGAAGGCATTCCCCCAGATCAACAGCGTCTGATCTTTGCTGGCAAACAGCTTGAGGATGGTCGCACTCTGTCAGATTACAACATTCAGAAAGAATCAACCCTTCATCTGGTGCTTCGTCTGAGAGGTGGTATGCAAATCTTCGTGAAGACCCTCACTGGCAAAACCATCACCCTTGAGGTTGAACCATCAGACACCATTGAAAATGTCAAGGCCAAAATCCAAGACAAAGAAGGCATTCCCCCAGATCAACAGCGTCTGATCTTTGCTGGCAAACAGCTTGAGGATGGTCGCACTCTGTCAGATTACAACATTCAGAAAGAATCAACCCTTCATCTGGTGCTTCGTCTGAGAGGTGGTATGCAAATCTTCGTGAAGACCCTCACTGGCAAAACCATCACCCTTGAGGTTGAACCATCAGACACCATTGAAAATGTCAAGGCCAAAATCCAAGACAAAGAAGGCATTCCCCCAGATCAACAGCGTCTGATCTTTGCTGGCAAACAGCTTGAAGATGGTCGCACTCTGTCAGATTACAACATTCAGAAAGAATCAACCCTTCATCTGGTGCTTCGTCTGAGAGGTGGTATGCAAATCTTCGTGAAGACCCTCACTGGCAAAACCATCACCCTTGAGGTTGAACCATCAGACACCATTGAAAATGTCAAGGCCAAAATCCAAGACAAAGAAGGCATTCCCCCAGATCAACAGCGTCTGATCTTTGCTGGCAAACAGCTTGAGGATGGTCGCACTCTGTCAGATTACAACATTCAGAAAGAATCAACCCTTCATCTGGTGCTTCGTCTGAGAGGTGGTATGCAAATCTTCGTGAAGACCCTCACTGGCAAAACCATCACCCTTGAGGTTGAACCATCAGACACCATTGAAAATGTCAAGGCCAAAATCCAAGACAAAGAAGGCATTCCCCCAGATCAACAGCGTCTGATCTTTGCTGGCAAACAGCTTGAGGATGGTCGCACTCTGTCAGATTACAACATTCAGAAAGAATCAACCCTTCATCTGGTGCTTCGTCTGAGAGGTGGTATGCAAATCTTCGTGAAGACCCTCACTGGCAAAACCATCACCCTTGAGGTTGAACCATCAGACACCATTGAAAATGTCAAGGCCAAAATCCAAGACAAAGAAGGCATTCCCCCAGATCAACAGCGTCTGATCTTTGCTGGCAAACAGCTTGAAGATGGTCGCACTCTGTCAGATTACAACATTCAGAAAGAATCAACCCTTCATCTGGTGCTTCGTCTGAGAGGTGGTATGCAAATCTTCGTGAAGACCCTCACTGGCAAAACCATCACCCTTGAGGTTGAACCATCAGACACCATTGAAAATGTCAAGGCCAAAATCCAAGACAAAGAAGGCATTCCCCCAGATCAACAGCGTCTGATCTTTGCTGGCAAACAGCTTGAAGATGGTCGCACTCTGTCAGATTACAACATTCAGAAAGAATCAACCCTTCATCTGGTGCTTCGTCTGAGAGGTGGTATGCAAATCTTCGTGAAGACCCTCACTGGCAAAACCATCACCCTTGAGGTTGAACCATCAGACACCATTGAAAATGTCAAGGCCAAAATCCAAGACAAAGAAGGCATTCCCCCAGATCAACAGCGTCTGATCTTTGCTGGCAAACAGCTTGAAGATGGTCGCACTCTGTCAGATTACAACATTCAGAAAGAATCAACCCTTCATCTGGTGCTTCGTCTGAGAGGTGGTATGCAAATCTTCGTGAAGACCCTCACTGGCAAAACCATCACCCTTGAGGTTGAACCATCAGACACCATTGAAAATGTCAAGGCCAAAATCCAAGACAAAGAAGGCATTCCCCCAGATCAACAGCGTCTGATCTTTGCTGGCAAACAGCTTGAAGATGGTCGCACTCTGTCAGATTACAACATTCAGAAAGAATCAACCCTTCATCTGGTGCTTCGTCTGAGAGGTGGTATGCAAATCTTCGTGAAGACCCTCACTGGCAAAACCATCACCCTTGAGGTTGAACCATCAGACACCATTGAAAATGTCAAGGCCAAAATCCAAGACAAAGAAGGCATTCCCCCAGATCAACAGCGTCTGATCTTTGCTGGCAAACAGCTTGAAGATGGTCGCACTCTGTCAGATTACAACATTCAGAAAGAATCAACCCTTCATCTGGTGCTTCGTCTGAGAGGTGGTATGCAAATCTTCGTGAAGACCCTCACTGGCAAAACCATCACCCTTGAGGTTGAACCATCAGACACCATTGAAAATGTCAAGGCCAAAATCCAAGACAAAGAAGGCATTCCCCCAGATCAACAGCGTCTGATCTTTGCTGGCAAACAGCTTGAAGATGGTCGCACTCTGTCAGATTACAACATTCAGAAAGAATCAACCCTTCATCTGGTGCTTCGTCTGAGAGGTGGTATGCAAATCTTCGTGAAGACCCTCACTGGCAAAACCATCACCCTTGAGGTTGAACCATCAGACACCATTGAAAATGTCAAGGCCAAAATCCAAGACAAAGAAGGCATTCCCCCAGATCAACAGCGTCTGATCTTTGCTGGCAAACAGCTAGAGGATGGTCGCACTCTGTCAGATTACAACATTCAGAAAGAGTCAACCCTTCATCTGGTGCTTCGTCTGAGAGGTGGCAATTAGATCTGCCTTTGATTAAAGAACCCAAGCTCAGTTCTGTTTAATAGCAAATTCCATCTGCTTTGTATTCAAGTGGTGAAAAGGTTGGGCTGAGGTGAAACTATAGGCCCAAAAAGTTTTTACAAAACAGTAGATCTAGTTCTTATACAACTTTGTATGATTTTTATTAAACTTGTTTTTATTTTACAGTCTTAATTAAATAGAATACTAATTTAAACTTCTTACCCAGTACATTTCAATAATTCCTAGATTAATACTTTTGAGCTATAATTTCCTGCAGTTAAACTAATAAAACCTTTTAATTATAACAAAATTATGAATGGAAAATTTTTTAACTTGTAAATTCTGCATTTTGATTAAAATTCTTGCAATGGCACATTTTTGTTTGATTTGTCTGTTGTGTTGCTGTCATGGTGATAAGGACATGTATTTTTTTCACTCATAAATATGAGCGGTTGTAGTTGTAGTCTTTGTCAATTTCGCAACAACCATGAAAATATGTAACCTATGTGAAAGAAAGCTATGAAAAACCTAGCCCATAAAATGTAAAACAAATTAGAGCGTAACAAGTTGCTGATGGTGCAGATAATACTAGCTTGTGTCATTAACTCTAGCTGGATGAGGATAAGAATTGAAGCTATCCAGCTTTCTAAATGTAACCAATTTAGATGACGTTTATGCAAGATGTTTCTGTAAACTTACGTTTAAATTATTAGCAAATATTCTAAAAGTATGTTTCCACTTTCAAGAAACAAAATTAGAGTTAAAAACAAACGATATTTTTTTTTAAAAGTATCTTCTTTAATCAAACATTCAGAACTATGTAAGGAGTCGCTAATTTCCCTTACTTCTGATAGCCGCTCCTACTAAAAATTCTGCGTATGTATGAGGGCCATTCTGTCTTGATAACCACGGGCCCCTGGCTGATCTGTTTCGTTACTGACAGACACAGAACCTAGGCCTGTATGATCATGTACCATACATCAATGTATAACATTTTAGAACGGTACATGTGTTACTGCTGTGAAGAACGCGTGTCGTATGGAATGTCTTTTTGTTTTCCTCTGGAATAGATTCCCGTTAGCCAGGTATTTTGGGCGAGCTAACAAATGTGTCACCCCATGTTTTCAGTCTCTCAAATCTCGTCTGGTGCAGTATGACCATTGAATCAACAAGCTACCCTGACGCCCAATCAGTGGCGTAGCGAGGGGGGTGCGGACCGCAATTGGTGACACCATTTAGGGGGGTAACACAAAGGCAAAAAATAGCAAAATAGAGAAAAATGATAATTCATCTTAATTAATTCGAGTGTTAAATAGTCTTTTAAGACGTGGAAATCGAAAGTTTGGGGGGGGGGGGGTGCAAATCGAAAATTGAAAGTTTGTCCCCGGGAAGGGTCGCTACGCCTCTGGGGGGGGGGGGGTGACACCCGACCCATTTCCAAACAACTTGTAGTGTATTATTACCTACCAACCATAGTGTTCTAACGGAGGTCATCTGACGTCAGTCCGGGTCATAGGTCATTCTGTACACCGTGATGCAAATGTTTGGATGTAGTTGTGTGCAATATTAATCTATCTTGAGTATGAGTCATGAAATGTTTCTCAGGAATCTCAGCTACTTCAGACCGATATCTTCTCATTTAAATACCAGTCTGCGTTTTACAAGTTAAAAGTAAAAATATGAAAATGTTATGCTATTTATTTCTTGTTTCTCCAAGTATACTATAAGTGTTTAATTGTGACCTTTGCTACACAAACATTATTCCAAGGGCGGGTATTTAAAAGGCTGAAAAAAGAGGGGTAAAATTGGTTATTTCCCTTGATATTTAGATCTAAGTTTAGAACTCATTTTAGAATTTACTTTATATAATCATTTTTTAAAAATCCCAAATGCACATTCTCCTCTTCATTGTTTTTACAAAAGTAAACGTCGATTAATCTAGATGTAGGATCTAGTTCTTGACTAAATAGATGCACTTCTGATTTATTTTAAGATACATTTTATTTTTAGGGAACTACCGTGTTTTCTAATTTTGTGCCAGGCCCCGTCTAACGAATGACGAAAAATCACCCCATACAGGACTGGATCCTGATTGGATAAAGTTTATGGTGTTACTTCTTTCTAAAGATGGCCGATCAACAGCAGTGGTCGGCTGAAGCCGACGGTTTTCCAGTGCTAGAAAATGATTTCTTGTCTTCAAATCAGTTTGAAAATTTAACTTATGATGGAATCGATGGTAAGGAACATAGACTAATTAAAAACCTTTTACAATCTGCATATTTTCTTACTGTTTAGCCATCCAACTACCTAACTCGCGCGACTGTCATAGTGAGTAACTCTGTGAAGTGACTCACGCCAGTGTTGTCTCAAGACTTAAGTTGTGTGTGCTGGTCAAGACCTAGACTCTAGATCTAGATCTAGAATCTAAATCAAGAAATCTAGTCTAGATCTAAATCTATATCTTAATAGAATAGATAGGTTTATACTATAGGCTAGATCTAGTCTATTCAACTCCTGGCCTAATTTTACCTACGGATATGACTGGGAGTGAGTGGGAGGTCAAATATTTTTTCAAATAACAAATGAGAAGTAGTTTTCTTAGTGATATCCCACCTCACTCAACTGCAAACGTAGAAACTTTAGAATAAGATTTAAAATTTAGATATCTAAATTAGATCTATGATTGTCTAGATCTAGAAATCACACGCAGGGTAACCTAATCAGAGTAATTGTTGCTGTGAGTAATCAGACCTTAGGCTTAGGGCCCTAGCCTTCATCAGCAGTGTATTGCTCAGACCTTTTCTCTTGAGAGGAGGGGGAGGCGTGGAAGGCAGGACACTGGTTTCTATTATGTGGATAGTTAAATAGTAGATGCCTAAGCCTATAATTAATTTTGGGCACTAACAGACACAAACTACACCAAGCCTCTAGGTCAAATGTAAATGATGATGCAATAAGCCTGAATAAGGGATGTAGACCTAGATCTAGATCTTATAATTATAATATATTATCAGACTGACTAAACTTTGTGATTTTAGGCTTATGCTACTAGCCAAAGTAACTAATTAAGAATAAAATTGTAAGTCGTCCTATACTGTCTGGACAAAATATTATTTATTTTTAATCAGATACTTTTTGATCTTATTTGCCTAAATTTGTTCCAAGCAACCACTATTCTGTACTGCCCTTGCATTACATAACAATGTTTCATATATCATTTTAAGATCTAGATATTATCCAGTACATCAATGGAGATATACAGAATGATGCTGAACTCTTCAGCGCACAAACTTACGATCTCAACATCGACAATACGTTGGAAATGGATCCACTTGAGCATCAGCTTGGTCTTGATACCACCTTTACAGATGATACAGATCTTGAGCTTAAGATGACAGTGGTTAATCCTAAAGTGGAAATAAAGCAGGAGCCTAGTCCAGTGATTCCATATCAGTTTGAATTCCAAACTACACCAAGTGAGCTGCCAAGCTTACTAAAACAGGATGCCAAACCACCAGCCATTCAAAGGGCTGCAGTCTCTACCACAAATGTGAACTCAGGCAATGGACAGTTGTCCCAAACAGTTGCTTTGAAAGCACTGTTGGAGCTACAGAATGTTGCTCAAGGAAAAATAAAGCAAGAGGTAATTTTTATTTTAATCAAAGCTTCATATTAGCAAACTTTAGCTTTCGAAGTTATTTTTTTAACTATGTATCCTAATAGTAGAGCTTTTTTAAGTTTAAATTATTGCTAAAACAAAATAGCTGAACTTGTATTTAGTTTTAGTAATAGTTTTGTACAGTTATGTTTATTTTAATACATACAGTTTTGTCATTCCTATTATTTTTATTAACAGCAAACACAGCAGCAGTTAAGGCAGTTAATTTCCTCACAACAGTCTTTAAACCAAGTAAGATATTTGTTGTAATCAAGTTAAAGAAGTTATCTGTACTAAAAGATGTTTAAATAGATTTTGTAATATTTTTGAAATTCTACTTATTTAGAGGTCTGTTGGTGGAACTATTCAACCTAAGTTGACCAGCCAACAACAGTTAAAGCTGATTCTCCAGCAGCCTTTAATCAATACCAATACTACCACTACTACAGCTACAATTCGCCCACAACCAGCACAAGTTCAGGCAGTTGCTCCACAAGTACAGCTTATTCAACAAGTTCAGCAGCAATCAACTCCTGTACAGAATATTAATCAAATTAATTTTCAACAATTGCAGCAGGTTTGTAATGTCTGCTTGTATATCTTTGTGCCTATCAGATCTTTTTCCTCTAATATTCTGATGGTCTTTTGCTACCAATATACCAATTGTTGCCATTGATTTATTTATTGCATCTGTCTAAACAGTATTTCCATTTATTTCAATTTTGATTTACTTAAAATTCTCACTGACATCTTTTGCTTCATGCAGCTGCTCCAGCAAGTGGCTAAGGCCAATCAGCCATCTGAACTTCAAAGTACAAGCTCAAATGTCATTACACTGAGTACAACTCCCACTATTGGTACTGTCACCACTGCCCCATTTCAGACTTTGGTAACTGACGGTGGAAATACCATTGTTACAACAAGCATCCCAGTACAGGTATGATGTATACTGACATAAACTAGCTGGTACAATACATGTATGGATGGGACCAGTTCCAAATGTTTTCCCCTCTAATAATTGGTCCATTTATTGATATACACATATTGTAATGTGATGTGAGAATTTAAGGTGTATTATTTTAGTATCTCCCTTCAGCTTAACATGGATCACTATAACTTGCTAGACATATCTAAACCAACTTCTTGTGTTGTAATTCATGTCCTGTAAGAAATACTAGATATGGTGATAATAATTGAGTTTTGATTTAAAATTGTAGGTGCTTGATGGGGATAAAATGCCCATTAACAGGCTAACAAGTGCACCCAAGATGAAATGTAAAGGAGAGAAGAGGACAGCTCATAATGCTATTGAGAAACGTTATCGCCTCAGTATAAACGACAAGATTGTGGAACTGAAAGATCTAGTTGCAGGTGTTGAAGCTAAGGTTTGTAATCAATTATTAACTACCTGCATTTACCTTTACATGTATATGCTTAAAGTATGACTTTTAAAAACATTTTTATTGTATTAAACTTTTTTAAATTTGTATTGAAGTTGAACAAATCAGCAATTCTTCGAAAAGCCATTGATATGATACGACATTTACAAAGGGATAATGGCAGACTAAGGCAAGAAAATCTGAACCTTAAGATGATATTAAAGAAACAAAGTAAGTGTTTAGTTTCTGAGGTTCAACTTAAGTCATTCCATGTAATTAGAACAGATTCCCATTTCACAGTTTGAATTCTCTGTTTTCCTTCAGATCCACAAGAGTTATTGCTCCTGACTGAGAGCGCAGTACTTGATACTGACACATCTGCCATGACACCTCCTTACTCTGATAATTCATCAGGAGCTAATAGCCCTAATATTTCTGATAATGACTGTTCCAACCCTAACAGTCCAAGCAGTGATGATATGTTGAGTAAGAAGTGTATTTTTAGTAACTATTGCAGTAGCTGAACAGTCATTAATTTGTTTTAGAATCTTGATACATACCATAATACATTTTTTTTCACTGTTTTTTTTTTCCAGCTGATGATATGATTTATAGCAGTCAATCTGGCATGCTGGACAGATCTAGAATATTCCTGTGTATGTTCATGTTCAGCATACTGATATTCAATCCATTTAACTATTTCTTTAACACTGCCCAGTCTGCTCCAGACTCATCAAGATTACCCTCAAGAACAATACTATCTGATGATCCTAGTACGTTTCTTTGAATCATTTTTTAAAATAGTGTAATAGAAATTATTTTAAAAAAGGAAGGTTGATATTAAATAGAAAACAATTTTTATTACAATAATTAGCCATTTAAATTTTTTAGGAAATTTAAGCAAAAATAAATTTGCTTAAGTTCCATGCTTCTTATTTGTTTTTCTTTTTATAGTGACAGAACAAAGTTGGTATTCTCGAATTTACCCATCATTGTTCCTTTGGTTACTAAATGGTTTGCTAGTGAGTTTTGTTCTGGCTAAACTGTTGATCTTTGGGGAACCTGTTACCAAAAAGAACAGTAATGCCTCTGTTGCTTTTTGGAGACACAGAAAACAAACTGATCTCGATATGTCTCGTGTAAGTTGTTTCATTAATTATACTTTATTTGTATTTTATATCATATACACTATCTATTGGTAGCTATGTTATTGATTTTTCAATTGAAAATTGATTTGAATTTCAGGCTGACTATTCTTCTGCATACCATCAGCTTCATCAGTGTCTGTTAGCTCTTGGTCGTCCATTGCCCACATCAAATGTTGATCTCTTATCTGGTGTGTGTTGGCAGATATTACGACAATGTCTGAACAGAATTTATTTGGGCAGATGGTTAACCAGCAGGGCAGGAAGTCTGACTGGAACAAACAGCATTGATGTCAAAGAATCTGCTAGAGATGCTTCTGAAGTATACCATGTGCTCAACCAGCTCCATTTAAGTGGTAAGATTTGTTGTATTAAAGCATATACCATTTTGAACTGTTACATTTACATTTTTTCATATTTTCACTTGAACATGACATTGTGTGTTTAGGTCACATAAAAGGCAATCGTCTTTGGGGTTTGAACCTTGCCTTGAGTGCTGTAAACTTGGGAGAGACAGCCAAAGATACTATGTTCAGATTTGACCTTGCTAGAATCTATGCAACAGCCGCTCTTCAAATCAAAGCTTCTCTCCCTGAAGGTTTCCAGTTTGTTGCTGTAAGTATATTTAATCATAAAAGTTAAAAATTTTCATTGATAGGTGCATTCTGTTTCAATTTAACTATCTAAAGTTTTTTTATTATTTTAAAAACAATTTTAGAGGTACTTTTTGAGCCGTGCACGTTACATCTGCAAAAAAAGTGGTGATCAGGTGCCAGCAAATATTCAGTGGCTTTGCCACCCAGAAGGGCATCGTTTTTTTGTAGACAGTGTCAAGTTTGAAGGAACAGAAGATTCAATATTTTCATCAAGAGGAACAGAAGGTAAAAATAAGCTTAGTACATATTTAAATAAAAAGTTATTTGCTTTTTCTAAAATTGGTTGTTAGTTATTCACAAATTTCAACCTCTATGCTTTGTCAATTCCTGACTCAACTTTTATGGAAAAAAAAAATATTAAATTTTGACAGTTGATCCCCTTGCTAAAGTGACACAAGCATTCAGAGAACATCTACTTGAGCAAGCCATGTTTTCTTTGGTTTCCCCAAATGAGCCATTTAAGAAATCCAAGCAGAATGAACCTCTCTTGTATGCACAGCTACTCTCTGAATGTTCTTGCTTGAGTTCTGTTACTCAGTCAGCTGGAATAGCTAAAGTTGAAGGTTTGTTGTTTTAATGCTTTTTTGTTTATACTCCATTTAGAGTGATCCTGTATTGGTGAGTGGGGGGAGAAGGAGAAATTATGTCTAATAACACACAGAATTTTATTAGTTTTAAGTTTGTACTGTGAGTTTGCTTAGAATTAGTGTCCCATATGTAGCAATAGCTCACTTAGTGTTGGCTTAAAAAATAACAGATAGTATTATTTACAAAGTATTTATGTTTACTCTATTGTTTATCAGTACTGAGAAAAATCCTTTGCTGATTTTCAAATGATTGATTGATATTTTGCTCCTCAGAATTGGATGAAGTGGCAATGTGGTGGTCAAACATTGTATCTGTAGCTCACTACTGGTTGATTGGAGATGAGGAAAATGCTTCAAGGAACTACTCTGTTTTAGATGTTTTTCCTAAAAAATTGCATGGGGTTGAGTAAGTTGATTTTTATCCTTGAATTAATTATCATTAGTAATGTGTATTGTTTTCTTATTGTTAATAATGAGTGAAATATTAATTTGAAAATCTTTGTTCTCAGTGACCCACTTCCTAGAGCTGTATACCTGGCATACAAAGCTAAGAAAACAGTTTTTGTGCAACCAGATTCTCAACATTTTAAAGCAGCTATCAGACAGTGTGATAGGTCAGGTCGTCTCTTAAGAGAAAGTTTAAAGTTATCATACACAGCTGAAAATATAACCATTGTCAAGGTGAGGAAATACTTCACTTTTGTTTACTCTACTTTTATCTTGTTTTATATTTCTAAACTTGCTCTTAATAGCCACTTTGTCAAATAGGTCTTCAATATGTTTTGTGTGAGCCGATAGCTACAGCTGAAAATAGGGTGTTCGTGGTGCATTGTAGTTGCATTGCGTTGTCTAAATCTGCAATGCATCTGCAGTGCAATCACGAATGCATCTACTGCCATCACAGTTTTCCTGCTTCAGTGAAAGATTTGTTTTACCTGTTGTGTGATTTAAAATGAGAATTTTAGTCAACTATGGCATTTTTTAAAAAATTAAGATATTAAATTTTAAGTCTTTTTTTTTTTGTTCTTCTAAATTTATACTAAAGCTTTATCAGGGATAGTAAAAAAAATTTCTCTAAAATTTGGCAATTAATAAATTTTTGGCAAATCATTTTATGTTAGCCTTTGAAAAATAGTTTTGTATGATTTTATTATTCCATTGTTCAGTGTGTTCAACTCCTTTTGTGTGACTGGTTGCTAACTACCAGAACAGACATTTGGGAATTGACTCAGGAAGATTCCAATAGCAGGACTGCCTCGCAGACTGAATTAATTGCCTTCCAGCAAGATTTGGCCAGCTTGAGAAAGCTGTCTATCAACATGAAAGTTGCATTACCAAAGGTGAATATATAGGGCTTTACAGCGTACATCCTACACCGCATTAATTTTCTTGTAACTTTTTGGTTAGCAGCTAGTGTAGTACACGTTTTGTTGAGGATTGTGTACATTGAAATGTTGTATTCATCACTGTTAAATGCAATGGTCTGTGTGCAGGTATTTTTACATGAAGCAACATCAAGAATAATGGCTGGGGCAAGTCCTGGTCGCACACAACAGTTGCTAGACAGAAGCATAAGACAGAGAGCTAAAGTCTGCTTGTTACCAGGGGAAAAAGGTGAGTTACACCTACTCTAAAGATTTGATGTTAATTTTGTTTTTTATATGTCAATTTTGTAAAAAATTAATGAGCAAGTTTTAATTAACATTTTAAATTGAATATAGTTACAGAGGACATTGAAAGTGGGCCTGCTGAATATCCAGAAAGAGAGAGGGCCACTGCTCTCTTAATGGCCGGACGTCATTTGCCATCCTCCATGACAGGCGGAATTAGTGAGAGAATAAATTTAATCAAAGAGGCAAGTCGCTTGTACGAGTCTCTGGGTGACAAGAAATCTGTCCAGCTGTGTAGGAAAGTTCTCTTGGAAGTCAATGAGTTGAAACAAAATACAGAAGTCCCTGTTGTTGGCTGTTAGTTTATTCTCTGTCCATTTTTTAGTTGTGATGAATTTATTATATTTTTTTTTTTTTCAATATAATTTACCGTTTATACTTTGTAAAAACGTTTACGTATGGAAACCACATTAGTCTGGTATTAAAATTTACTTTTATGCTTCCAGGAATTCTTTTTTATATTGCCAGGAATTCATCTCAGAAATGTGTGTTCTTGTGGTTTCATGTACAAATTTACCTATGTATTGATAATTTATGCCCTTTATATCATATAAAATGTCCAAAAAAATTACAAGAAAATAAAAGATTTTGCACATATCTTTTTTTTGTGTGTGTGAATAATTGTTAAGTGTGTTAAAAAAATTGGATGTTGGTTATTTTACTTCTAGGTCATATTTATTAGCATCCACGTTGTTTGCTGACAGTTTTTAATGAGTTCTAAAACCACAGTGACTTGTGATTGGGACTGGAAAAATGAAATGTATGGGGGCACACGAGTATGTAATAATCATATGTATTATACATGTTGAATTTACCTTATTAGTAGGAAATGTTAAGTTAGGCTATATTTATGGAGCATTGGAAATGAAAAACTAAGTGCTATGCAGATAAACGATAGTATCATAAACAATGTTGCTTCTTTTTCAAAATCTGCTACTTCCAGTCCACTTTGTATTTTCCCCTTATATTTTGGGCTTATCTCCCTTCAACATACAGACCTTTTTGGTGAACTCACTGGTTAGATAGGATGACTAACATTTCGCTCTAGAACTAGAACTCACGTGCCTATACTTTTGTAACAGGAGAATCAACGTAGCCATAAAAATGTTGGTTTTGTTACATCCAGTACAGGGGGGGGGGGCTGACAACCTAGTGACGCAATCGAGTGGCTGTGTCGACACATAGATCCGCGTATGTATGTGACTGTCGACACATATAGATCCGCGTATGTGTGGGCGTGGCGACACTAAAGAAACACGTCACCACTGACGTTTTTTCCGTGTGTGATTGACGCGATTTGTTAATGTACACACGTCTAGTAGCGCCATAGTTATGTCAGGAATGTTGGCAATGGAACTTGTGTGTGTACGCTAGTGGACATTACTGGCCGCTAATGAACTTGTGGGTGCGCTAGTGGACATGAATGGTAATGTAGGATCAAATAAAGAATCTGTTGTAGGGTAGGATCAGATGTAAACAGTGCTTCTTCCAGACTTTTTTCTCCGGGGGGGGGGGGGGGGGAGACCCCCCACCCCACCCCCGAAAAGATGTCTGGAAGAAACTCTGGATGTAAAGAGGAGTGACACGGAAAATGTGCACTGTAAACAGAAAGTTGTGCACACAGATACATGCGCATACAAATAACCCTTCACACTAGTTTTTGTAGTGCTTTTACAAACATTTTGACGAAACTGCATGTGTTGGTGACAGTAATATCTCGAGCACTCAGCTACAGCTTGTGTAGATTTAATAAGGGCTCGCCCATAAACAAAGCATCCCTTTGTTAACGCTTTTACCTCACACACCGACACCCCTAAAATTAAGTCACTCCTTAACCTACCCCCCCCCCCCCCCCCCCATCCACTCTAAATTGCAACGTTAGATTTTTGAAACGGCTATTTCTGTCTCAAATATTACTTGAGCTGGGTCAACTTTGTTAATAACAGTGTTTAAATCTACTACAATTTACAACATGAGTTTAAATCTACTACAATTTAAATTTACAAAAAATATTTAAAAATGATAAAATAACGACAAAAATGTATTTTCCTACGTTACTATTTAAGATGCTAGAGTGTGTGGTCATACTTTTCGAACCTCTCTCTTCCCCACACATAGTTACAAAAGTCTCCCCCCCCCCCCACACACACACACTGTAGGCTACCATCAAATGGTGTTACTGTATAATTTATTATAACTGAGCCTACTGTCACGTGCTGTGGTCTCAATTTTCTATATCTATAGGCAACATTTTCTCAGAACATTGTCAGCCTGAATTTATTTAAGCATTTATTTATACTTTTCAGTTGGTAAACAAGCGAGAAGCAGCAAATAAGATTGCAATAAAGTATAAACTATCTGGTTTTGGGGAAAAAAAAATGCGAGACCAATTCCATTCTGGTCAAAGTATATCAACTAGTCAAAAGTTGTGGCATAAATTGCCGGACAAGTTGCTGGAACTCCCGGGAGTCAAAAACTGGTCTTCTGCTCATCCTGTGTGGGCGAGACCTCCACCTCAACCTCGTCTGCTGCTAGCCTGCTGGGCGTGGTTAGATCTACATCCGGGGACATCTCCAGAGATTCGTCCTCGATGTAAACCGGATTGATGTGGTCGGTGCCTATGGAATGGGAATTCGGAAAGTGGACATTGTTAGTCGTCTGCCGGACTGCCGGCTTATCGTGTTTGGCCTGATATTGGTCATAGTTGTAGCAAAACATCGCCATCACAAGCGCCACGATACCGCCTGATATGAGCCCAGTTTTTAAGTTGCCAGAATATTTGTCCCACATGTCGCCAAAATAAGGACCGTCCACGTTGATCCCCAGCTTAACGATTCTTTGAACAGATTTTTGCTCGCCCAGCATGACAAGACAAAAGTAAAAACCGAAATCTTCTTTATCGATGTTTTTCACCAGCAGAATGGAGCCATTGTTCCAGAGTTCATAGCGATCATCGTTCATGTCATCGATCGTGTTGACATCGATCAGGTGATCTGTGGAAAATACAAACGTGATTTATTATACAAGCCCGCGATACAGATGAACGATAGATTGTTATATGTAATTTTCTGTAATCTCTAAGTCCTACGGTCACCCCGGGTCAATGACCTCTATTTCTGTTTGATTCATCTTCTCTTAACGTAGAGGTAACCTCCTAGTTTTATAAGTGTAGACTACCTAGGTATCGTGATTCGATTACCCGATAAGTTTAGTTTTTTTAAAATTTTAAATCTGATGGCTAAATTTTGTCTGCTGGTTAAATGTTTAGTTTGTTGCAGGATAAAAGTGCTGGGAGATTAGAGGGGACCTTCAGGAAACCAGCACCACCCGACAGGTCCTCACATGGAACCCACGGGGGACAGAGGGAGGGGGGGGTCTGCACAGATTACCTGCAGACGGGAATAGGAGACAGATCAAGAAGATGGGCCGCAACAGGGGACAGTTTGAGAAGTTACACGATCAAGATTCGGGGTGAAGCTTTATTGGTGGCGTATGCTCTGGGTAAGGCGACATGTATGCAAGTAAGTTACTATAGGCCTATGTGTACAGACAGATGTAAGAACTCACTGCTGGGCAGCATCCATTGGTAGCGTTCAGTCACGTGATGCGACGGTCTAAAGTCGTGGCTCCGGCACGTCAGGTTGGCCGTGGAGCCGTACAGTAGCTGCTGGTACGGCGAGTGGCTGGCCGTGGGGAGGACGGAGACACCCAGCAGGACAGTCAGCAAACGGAGCATCATCCAGCTGTGGGCTGGGGAACAAGGTAAACAAAAAACTGAGACAGTCAGCAAACGGAGCATCATCCAGCTGTGGGCTGGGGAACAAGGTAAACAAAAAACTGAGACAGTCAGCAAACGGAGCATCATCCAGCTGTGGGCTGGGGAACAAGGTAAACAAAAAACTGAGACAGTCAGCAAACGGAGCATCATCTAGCCGTGGGCTGGGGAACAAGGTAAACAAAAAACTGATACAGTCAGCAAACGGAGCATCATCCAGCCGTGGGCTGGGGAACAAGGTAAACAAAAAACTGATACAGTCAGCAAACGGGGCATCATCTAGCCGTGGGCTGGGGAACAAGGTAAACAAAAAACTGATACAGTCAGCAAACGGAGCATCATCCAGCCGTGGGCTGGGGAACAAGGTAAACAAAAAACTGATACAGTCAGCAAACGGGGCATCATCCAGCCGTGGGCTGGGGAACAAGGTAAACAAAAAACTCATCATGTTGGGAAGCTGGTCCAAGTGAGACTTTGACAGGATTAATGGGATCAGTGTTTCTTTCAGGCATCTCCCCGGAGTACGCCCCGCCCCCGGAGATAAGTGTCTGAAAGAAACCTTTATTTGATTCCTTTAAGGCCACACTGAGTTAGTTTCTTGCAACTGGCTTACACGGCGATAATTAATTAATTAAAACAGCGTGCAATCAAAATTAACAAGTCAATTAAAATAGTTCTAGAAAAAAAGTGACATTATAATACTTATGATCCTTTTAATAAAGTATTTCCTCAACTGAGATTCTAATCATGCTAACACAACCACAAGAGGGACCCGTATAGTTTACACACATATTTTTTCTTCAGACTGAAGATACAACTTTCAGCGATAAGAAGCAACAACCATTACGATCACCTAAGTTGTATACTCACCCAACTACGGAAACCAAGTAGAATACTTACCCAACAACAAAATCAAAGAAGTGTTATATCATATGCACTTCAAGCAGATATCAGAATCCAAATGCGCACATGAGACCCTAACGCTAATCCGTGACCTTTCATTAATCTGAAACTTATATTCCGCAACATGAAAACATAATGGCGCGATTTGTAACGCTGGTCCTTACATTTTTATCTTGATACTATATGGTACTAGCCGTCCCGCCCTGCCTTGGCCTCTGTGAAAAACCTATCTGTAAAGGACCATGACTTGTGTGTTTAGTAATCAGCATATACCCGGCATTGCCCACCCTAACCACAACCAACCAAAACCAAAAAAAAAAAAACTCACCGCAAACATAACACAAACGAAAACACAAATGCAAAAACAAACTCAACCACAAACAAAACAAACGAAAAAGCAATCGAAAACAAACCCAAATGCAAACGCAACCACAAACCCAAACAGAAAAACACAAACATAAACGCAAAGTACTCACAGTCTAGTCCGCGGCGCCAAATCGCACCATGCTAGGGCGCCGGCGAAACCGCCCAATTGAACTAAGTAAACGACTATAGTACCCCAACTTCTTCATAGTCTTTTACACTTACTTAAACGAACTTCGGGTGCCGATGGACGCCCGGATTCGATTCAGTTACCTTTCTTATCCATAGTCTATCGCACTGTTTAAAACGAAGTTATGCACCATAGAGCTCACAATATAGCCCAGGGCGTCAAATTCAGGGCGCCTGATTCAATTTAGTGAACGACTACAATACCTCAAGCTTATCCGCAAACGGAAGGATAGAAGTAAACAGAGGACATTTCGGTGCGGCTTGTAAACTTTAATTAATTTGAAATAATATTTAGTAAACAGTTCGTTCAGTGTATAAAATAAATAAATGCAGTAGCTAAAATATCTGTGTTTTATTTACCACATTTCACTTGACCAATCCACGCTAATTATGTAATTATTTTTCCCCAACATCAAAACAAGGTAATAAAAAGTAACCCCCCTCCCCCCGATGTAGTGGTTTTTAAAAAGGGAAGTAATTGTGTTTTCCTAATTTATCAAGGGACGTAATGAAAGCTAAATGACTAAAAGTAAATAATTTTTTAGGACACATTAGAATTTTTGTGAAGGGTGATACATTTTCTTTAATTTTGTTTAATGCACATGCCGTCAATTAACAATATAAGTTTGGAAAATGAAGCACTTAAAACTTTCTGGTCGGAAGCTTAATAAAGTAGTCTATATATTCTTTATAAAAAAAAATATTTTTTTCCCCCCATTTAGTCCTTGAGGGGGGGGGGGGGGGTTTCCGATTACACTTTAGAGCCTTCTCATAGCTGCTTCATTATCTCAACAGGCTAAAAACATCCAATCTCAATTTAAACCTTTAGCCAATCATACTCAAAATAAAATAACGCAAGTACAAGAAGGTGACATTTTATAGTGTACCATACTTTATGTTTATTATAATTATAATTCAAGCAGATCTACAGGAAGAGATTTATGACATACATTTTAATATTTTTCTAACTAGGCATTTGATTACACAATCTTTATGCCTATAAAGATTAAAATAAATGTTTAAAAACATGTTATATATGTTTAAATAGAAATGAATTTGTTACACGATATTTTAAAAAAATAAAGTAAAAGATACGTATGATGAAAAAATCATCATACCAAACTAGTGAGGTAAAAAAATTGATACAAAATAGATCGAATGCTAGGAGACTGTAAATATATATAAGGACAAAAATTTAATTCAAAGTATGTGCTACTTTTAAAATAAATTTAAAATAAACCGGGAGTGATCTCCCCTAAACTTTCTCGTATATTCATATATAGTATATAGCAATAATGTTTTATTACAGCCAAAACAAGCAGCAAATACTCTCTAACCATATAGTCTACTGTTAGTCCAATTATGTTTAACTTCAATCCTAAACATATAGGCCTACATCGATCACACCAGCATAACCGAACACAATATGCGGCTGTAAAATCGTGATTGTGCACGTATTACATAGGATATGTTCTTATATGACAGAAACAGGCATAGCACTTCCAATGCAATCGGGGTATAGACATTTGTGACATAACCCAAATTACACATTATTACAGTTTTTATAAAAATATAATCGAGTAGAAAATAAAATTCATTAAAAAAAGTTTTAGTAAGAAGCGTTTATATCATTTTGCACTATTCTATTTTAAAAATATATTCTTATATAACACTACGGTGACACGGGATAGAGAAATGATTTTTAATCCATTTTTAATTTTCCAACTTTTATAAGTAGAACTAGCCATCGGTACCCGTTTCACGTGAATCATAGGCCTATATATTTTAAAATGTTGAACTTGTTTAGAAAAATAATTTATAAAATAGTTAGGGTCAAAACGCAATGTGCTTTATTACACGCTGAACGATATTACTGACAAAGCAAAGAAATGACTAATTAGCTAAAAATCCGACACATTTAACATAACACAGTCACACACTGATTAACTTAAGTGACTTAAATGATTCCGTTAAAAACTCGGCTATTCCACGGTATTCTTCTTGTTTTTAAAGTGATTTATTTTTATTAGGTTTTTATGAATAGATCTATAGATTTAAATGAAATAGTTCATTTCTTCACCGGTAACCATACCATATTAAATGCACTCGCTGATTAAGAGACTTAAAATTAAGAGACTTAAAAGATTTCTACAAAAAACCCGGCTGTTCAATGGTAGTTATGTTGTTTTTAGTAGATAGTCTAAATCCAGATCTTAGTGACTACGTATAGTTTTTCCGTAGATCTAGTCTAGATCTAGAATCGAGATCTAGATCTATATCTAGAATCTAATTAGAATTTAATTAGATAAAGTAAAAAGTTATAAAAGTTTAGGCCGAGAAAATCGTATTGTATACATTTCCATTAGACAAATTAATTGCACACCAAGTGAACGCGAAATAAAAAAGCGCATAATAGTGCGCAATATTATTAGTACTTTAAAAATTTACATTAGTTTTTTGAGAAATCGGAAGTAGCGTAAATTACTACTTCCGGTCAACGGAAATTACTCAAAATTTAACAGAAGGTAGAGAATTAGATCTTTTACTTACATGTGAAATTTAATTTATCTCTTTTACTTACATGTGAAATTTAATTTATCTATCTGAAATAGTACTCAAGTTATAGGCTTTTGAAAAATTCAAAGTAGAAAAAGTACCACTTCCGGTTGTCGGAAATCGCTCAAAAGTTGATACGGATCTACGATTTTGATAAAATACTTATATATGAAATTTCATCAACCTAAGTAGTATATTAGGTCACTTTTGGGTAGTATGGGTGAGCAGGATGCGGATGCGGATGCGGAACAAAGGCTATATAGGAAAATACTCCCTGCCTGGGTGAGCCGCAGGAACAATGACATATAGCAAAATATTCACCCACCAGGGTGAGGTGGGTGATCCGCAGGAACAACGGGATATAGTAAAATACTCCCTGGGTGATGCGGAGGTACACCGACATATAGTAAAATACTCACCCACCTGGGTGAGGGTGGGTGAGCCGCAGGAACAATGAGATATAGTAAAATACTCACCCACCTGGGTGAGGGTGGGTGAGGGTGGGTGAGCCGCAGGAACAACGACATATAGTAAAATACTCACCCACCCTAGGGTGGGTGATGCGGATGCGGAGTAGGTCAGTAGGTCACCTTTTGGTGACCTTGTGACGTAATTAGTAACATTATGACGTAATCATTGACCTAGTTACGTAATTTTAATGCGTTTTTAATGAGTTTTTTAAATTTTAATTAATTTTTGACCTAGTTACGTAATTTTAATGCGTTTTTAAGGAGTTTTTAAATTTTTAATTAATTTTTATTATCGAGTTACGTAATTTAATTACTTTGATTGTATTTTTATTTTGTTTAATTTGTTTGTTTACTTGTTGTTTAATTTAATTACTTTGTTTATATTGTGTAATTTTTTATTAACGAGTTACGTAATTTGATTATTTGTTTACTTTTTTAATTATTTTTATTGACGAGTTACGTAATTTGATTATTTGTTTACTTTTTAATTATTTTTATTTTGTTTATTTTTAATTTTATTTTATTTTATAATTAGTTAAATTATTATTAACTAGTTACGTAATTTGATTTTAATTACTTTTGTTTATTTATTTATTTGATATATTTCTTTTTCTTTGTTGTTTAATGTTGTTTATTTATTTGATTGTATGTATGTTTAATAGTAAACGGATAGGGGTGTTGGTGGATGAGAGGGGGGAGTAATGATGGGGTTTGGGGGTAGGGGTGCGTTAGCGTGTACTTTGTGAATAACATTCATTAACCAGACATGTAACACCTGTTACGTATTGATCGCACCCACTGGGCCATCACAGCATGATGTCCCACCTAATTAATTTTTTTGTCCGTGATCCTTTGTTGACACGCGCTGCGCTTTTAATGGGAATGTATTGATCGCACCCATGGGACCATCGGGACAACGGGCGCGTTAATATTGATTCCACACACGGCCATCAAATGATGGTCCGCCTAATTAATTTGGTCATGCATCGTGGGTTTATGTCGACTACAAACATCCATTAGAGACACCTGTTACTCGCTAATGGCACCCGACACGTATCGATCCACATGCGATCCTTTGTTCTTGTCAACCACCGTACAAGGGCCAAGTTAATATTGATCGAACCCACTGACCATCAGTATGATGGTCCACCTATGTGTAATTTTTATTAACGAGTTACGTAATTTGATTTTAATTTTTTTAAATTTTTAAATTTTTAATTTTATTTTATAATTAGTTTAATTATTATTAACGAGTTACGTAATTCGATTTTAATTTTTTAAATTTTTAAATTTTTTAAATTATTATTTTTAAATTTTATTTTTAATTGTTGTTTACTTGTTGTTTAATTTAATTACTTTGTATAATTTATTTGTTTGAAATTCATTTTAATTAGTTTGCTTTTAATTTCTTTGTTGTACGCCGTTTAAAATAAAAGACTAACACTAGCGTGTACTAGAAAGTGTCATTGTGTATAACATCCATTTAACCACAGCTGTTAC